GACATATTCCCCCATTAATCGTCTCTCTTCCAAACTGAAAAGTCCCAGTCTTATTAATCTCTCATCTTATTTTAAGTCCAAATTCATCATACTCCCTCCTCTGGCTGCTTTCCTCCATTGATTGGTTTTGTATGCTAGGATTCAGCTCTACAGCACTCTAGTTAGCACAAAGTATAATTTTACGCACAGGTAATAGTCTTATCACAATACTATCCTGTTGCTATGAGTCTGTGACAGGCAGGGGTTTGGGATAATGCCATGGTGTGAAGGGCACAGGAAATAAGTGTGGGACTAGGTTACTTGGTTACCAAGAGAATTATGTGTAAAGTACTGGGAGCTTGGTTTAAAATCAAAAACACTTTAGCAGAGAGCCTTGTGATCCCACTGTCTGGGTTATTAGAAGCTGAGTGTTGGATGGACCCTCCGACCTGAACCTTTATCTGTAAATGTTCTTCTTGCAGATGTATCTCAGCTCCCTACACAGTTGCATGTTTCCCAGAAGGGTCACCAGTTGGAAGGTAGTGTGCGGGTTTGGTCTGATTACCTCCGAGTGCATCTGCATCCCAGAAGCATCTTCATGATACATCAGTACAACAATGATGGGTATGTTTGTTTCACTTCAAATGCAAACTGAGGCAAAGTGGTAGCTCCACGAAGGGGCACAGCTGCTGACTGCAATTTAGGGATCAGCCTAACTGGATACGTGCTAAAAGACACAAAAAGTGGGAGTGGAGTTAAATGCTCACCTTGTCCCTTCTGTTAGGGAGTCCAGTCAACTCGAAGCCTTTGGACAAGGTGAAAGCCTCCTGCATGACCCCACTTACCTAGAGGAGCTGGAAGATAGATTGCACTTCTACGTGGAAGAGTGTGATTATCTGCAGGTACATGGGGTTATATTAACCTGACCTGGTTGGGGAACTCTGCCAATTGAACTTTTGGTAGAAATTCAAACACTATTTGTCCCTTTCGGTATAGGGTTTTCAGATTCTGTGCGACTTGAACAATGGATTTTCTGGAGTTGGAGCTAAGGTGACAGAACTTCTCCATGATGAGTATTCAGGGAGAGGAATCCTGACATGGGGACTGACTCCAGTCATTCGTAATGTTGGGGTAAGTGTGCAGTGGGAAAAGAGACTCTTCCTGATCTCTTGACATTAGTGCATACATTCTTACTCAGACTGCTTCCTGTAAAACCGATATTGAGGATAGATCAAAAAAGCATCTCAGTGCAGTGAGTACTGCAACAGTAGCTGCCCTTCTATCTGCCTGGCGCAGCACTTTTACTTCCAAAGGAGCCTAAGGCCAGGGCAGATTAATCGGGGGGGCATCATGTTTAATTGCTAAATTGTTTAAGTGCCAAGCTGTGTGGATTTTTGGCATCTTTTGTCCGCAGGTGTCCTGGAAGGATTTTTACAGGCTGATGAACACAGTCCTGGGAATTGTCCATCTCTCCAGTCACAGCTCACTCTTTTGCCCACTATCACTCAATGGAAGTCTGGGACTCAAACCAGAAGCCCCCGTTACACTCCCATATGTACATTATGATGTGAGTATACACTGTCACTGACTGTGCAGACAGACTGGAAGCTTTTGGGAACCCTTTCTGTCTGGAAAGGCCTGACCACACTAGTGTATATATTCTATATTGTCAGAACTTTGTGCCAGAAGGGCTAAATCCTCCCATGCTAAAAAATCAAGCTATGTTCTATATAGGGGGAAGTTCTAAATAATAGCTTGTCTCGGGGAACCTGCCTAATCCTATCCCTAACGTTTGAAGTTGATTACGTAACTCCATCTCTGTATATTTCCTCAATTTTAAACCTACAGCCCCTTAGTTCTGGTCTGTCCAGTGACCTCGGTGATCTGTTTAATAATCCTTAGATTACTGACAGGCCTGAAGTATTTACCAGCTGTCTTCTGCTCACACATGAGCCTACATTCCAATTACCTTTGCTGCCATTTACTGCACTCTCCATTTTAGCTCTGGGTTATGGCCTTTTACAACATTAGTTGTAATAAATGTAGGTTGCTGAATTGTTTCACACACTTGCCTTGTGTTTGTAGGTAGAGCCCTGCATAAATATAAAATTTGTATACACATCTGATCAAGCATGGTAAGCAGATAACCACAGATTTGCAGGGCTCTAGTTACAGGATTAAGATGGATTCATTCACATAATTGAATTCAATTTGCAGAGTCTCAACTCTTGTTTAACTGGTTCAGTCCAAGGCTGGAGCTAATGCATATGGGTGACTGCACAGGAAATCTAAACTGGTGCAAAGTTGTAATTGCAGGCAGACACTGACTCATTGCACTCTGATTTAATCAGCTTCTTACAATGCTAGTTGAATTGCAGAAAGCTCAAAACTTTGTAGATTCTAGAACCTGGTCTCAGTGACCTGAGCCCCCAACTGGGAATGCACAGCAGAACATATGGGATGACCATAACACTAAATTCTGTCATTGGAGAAATTACTAATGAGGTAATCAGCAATAGCAATTGTTTTTATTAACAGATTTCTACTGAATAAATGTCAACAGGTTATTCAGGCTTTAAAATGTAACATCAGTTTATGTCTTCTGGGCTGTTTTGTTCTGCCTTGGTCATTCTGAGTAGAAACTGCTTAAGTTGGTTTGGTTAAGAAACGGAAGAATCTGAAATTCAATCTTAAATGACCTTTTCCTTCTGTAACTTTGCTGTGGTTCAATTGTTCTTCTGTAGGCCTCTCTAAACTATCACAGCAGTGCAATCTTGGCAACAGCATTAGATACCCTCAGTGCTCCATACAGACTCCATTCCTCCCAGTTCTCCATGGTACAGCTTGCTGACGCATTTAACAGCTCTGGGAGAAAGGTAATGTTCTTCTAAGAAAATCATTATCGCTCAGCCCCTCCAGCCTCACTGTGGCCATTGGTGTAAAGTAGAAGTAAAATGGTGAATGTGTTACAATAGCTATTCTGTTTCATACCTCAGTGGCAGAATCTTTCCTTTTGCCTCTGTGCCTGTGGATGTTATTACCAGCAAACATTGATGCAGCATGTTGTTTTGGATACAGATCTCTTGCATGAGTCCCCCTGATCCCCAGATAAAGCTGAGACCAGATTATTGCAGACATTTCTATTGGCCTGTTCTCCCTCTGGCTCTCAGGTTGTGGCTGCAGGAGCTGCTGTACCCTTTCCTATGGCATATGGTCAGTCTCTCCCAGATGCTTTGTGCAGCTACCAGCTTGCAGTGCCATGGACACCATTGTCTTCATGTGGGGAGCAAAAGGACAGCTGCTGTTTTGCTCAGTCTGTTGTGCTGAGAGGAATTGGCAAAGAAAATCATATTGGGTAAGAGAAACAGCTAGATCAAGTACCTGTCTTTCAGAGCTGGCCCCTAGCCGTGGTGATCTCTGACAATAGGGGCTTCTTAAGGGAGGGACTCTTGCTTTTAAATCCTTACTTGTCCAAAAGAGCTGAAGCAGGTAACCTTTAGGATATGTGGAAGGCCTGCTTTGCCTGTCAGGTTACCACCTGACAGGCTGGTGTCAATAAGGGAGAATCTCTTATTACTAAGGCCTGGTCCACACTAACCCCCCACTTCAAACTAAGGTACGCAAATTCAGCTACGTTAATAACTTACCGCGGGTCCAGACGCGGCAGGCAGGCTCCCTTGTTGATGCCGCGTACTCCTCTCGCCGAGCTGGAGTACCGGCGTCGACGGCGAGCACTTCCAGGATCGATCCCAGAAGATCGATTGCCTGCCGCCGAACCAGGAAGTAAGTGTAGACCTGCCCTAAGAATTACAGTACCCTTGCATTGTTCTAGTACATGCTGCTGGTTTTAGATCAGTATAGAACCATTGCTGGCCCCCTGTAGCTCAGTCACAGTTACCAGCATCTCAGTTCAGGTACTCCTATAATATGCATTCACATGTTTTTCTTTGCAGTAATCTTCCTCCAGGGTCACAACCCAAGTCTGCCCTCCATGTTTGTGAAACTGGAGAGGAGGTTTTGGGAAGTTACTTACATGCTCGGTGCCCAGGGACATTCAGGTTGGTGATATGCTCTGACTAGGCAGCTTGGGGGATGGGTCACTGACTGCTAATTATGAAACTTCTATATAGTGAATTTTGGATAATTCTTCCTCACTTTGTTTCCTTGGCAGCACCTCATATTTGATTCAGGGCCCATGTAAAGTGTTACCTCCATACCCCCAATTTTTCTCTGCTCTTCTAAACAAGCAAGGTTTCCTCCTGGACAAGCTTCCTAGCTGCTCAACAGGTAAGATGCTCTAACACACCCTATGTGTGACAAACTGCTCGGTACCATACAGCTGCATCAAACAGATGTGGGGAAGGGGTTAACATGTGGGGGATTTTTTGTTTTTTTTAAAAAGCTTGAATTAGAGGATATTAACAAGCTGGCACCCTTCTAAAGCTTGCTATTTTTCAGCTGTTGGCGTATGGCCAGTGCATGCCAATGGCATTGTCCTATAGGCTTTCTCAAAACCCCTTCCCCTAGAAGAACACTTATTTTAAAAGTAGAATAGGAAGGGGATATGGTGATATACTCTGAATGTGATGACAGATGTTTCAGTGGAGATGTTTTTTCCACAGCAGTTGAAAGCATTCCTGTCCTAACAGCACTACAATCATCACCTGCTCTGTACAGTGCTCTCTACAGTTTATATAAGGAGCTGCATCGAGTGGATATACGGCGCTGGGCTAGCTTTTTCTCTGCAGGCATTGAACTTTATGATTTTCAGGAGGCCCTACATGAGCTAAGAACGCTGTCACAATGCTATAAAACAAGCTCTGAGTTGGATGAATCTGAGGATGAAGTAGACTCCAACTAACTCTACTACCTATCACCTGAGGAAGAAGAGAAACTTTTTTTTTTTTAAATGTTGAACTAGGGCACTGACTTTAAAGAATAAAATGTTACTGCAAATTAGGTGACAGTTGTGCTGCATCTGTTATACAAGGGGAGAGGGTGGCTTTAGACATCTGTACAGCACCAGTGTCCATCATTTATCACAACAGAATGGGGTTTATGCTGTATACTGAACAATAACCATGGATCATTTTAGCTTATAGCCTTTCCAGATATAAAAAGGACAGTAATGGAATTTGCAAAATTTGAGAGTGGGAAAGCATTTACTTCACCTGAAAACAGGACACATCTTATGATACAATAATTACAAGTTTTTTACTGCTGTATCTGCAATAACTCACTAGTATGTTCAATTTAAATCTTTATTACACAGAGGCAGGGGTTTGGGAGCCAGGGCCTAGCCCCAATGGAGTCTTTAAGCTCTCCCCTTTTAGTCATGCAGGTCACATTTGCAGAATGAAAAGCTGCCAGAGTAACATTATTCTACTAATTTTGTGTCAAACATTAGACCTGTGCTCCTGCAGAAATGAAGTTTAATTGGTTATATATGTAGCAAGATTATCCCAAAAAGTAAGGTGCCATTTTAAGTTACAGTCCTGTGCAAATATTCCTGCCTCTACCAGAGCATCCCTCTAGCAGCAAACTGGCTAGTACCTAATGACAATGTCACAAGTGTAGTTTGTCCACCAGCACAAATGTGTTTAGTCATCCTGTTCTTCTTCAGAGAGGAGTAGATCCTTATCTGACAGCTGGTCAGTATTGCTGGTGCTTGTTGCATCTTCCTCATCCTCAGAGCTTCCATCATAGGAGGTATGGAAGAGCCTCATCAATTCCCTGAACCGGTGGGACACCTGACCATAGAGAGAGAGTTGTGATTAAATGACTCATGCACGGGGGTCTGTAGGTCCCACCCATCCATAACACCAAGATTGGACATTACTATGAAAGCAGAAGTATTTAACACACACCAATCCCATCAAAGGAGAATGAAACAAAGGACCCAGGAACCATTTTAAAAATCTTGGACACCAAGCAGTCAAGTTACAGAGTTGAGCTAATTATCTAATGTTAATAGCAAACTGTGTGTGGAACATCACAGACCTTCCTCAAGGCAAAGCCTTTACACGATCAGCCTAGCAGGGGTTTAGGCTAGTACATGATGGTGGGAAACCACAGGAGTTACATCTCTGAACAGCTCACAACTCTGCCAGTGCACCACCATCCTAAATTCCAAATTCCTTGTGCAATTAGTCCCAGCACTCTTCTGCAGCGACTGATAAGCTATGCAGGTGGACTTTTTTTTTTCTGTTTTGTGGCACAAGGTAGGCTTGGCACCCAGGCTAATGCAGTAACCATCTCTCAGTCCCTTAAGCCAGTGGTTTCCAAACTTTTTTTCTGGTGCCCCAGTTGAAGAAAATTGTTGATGGTCGTGACCCAAAGGAGCTGGGGATCAGGGGTTTGGACTGTGGGAGGGGCTTAGGGCTGGCATCCAGGGGTGAGGGGTTCAGGGTGTGGGTGCAGGCTCTGGGATGGAGCCAGAGATGAGGGGATTGGGAGGGGCTCAGGGCTGGAGTACAGGCTTACCTCTGGCAGCTCCCAGTCAGCAGTGCAGCTGCAGTGCAGAGGTAGGCTTCCCACCTGTCTGGCACCGTGGACCGTGCTGGACCCCAGAAGTGGCCAGCAACAGGTCCGGCTCCTAAGTGGAGGCATGCAAGCAGCTCTCAACCACAGGCACCGCCCCCTGAGCTTCCCAGCCAATGGGAGTGCGGAGCCAGTGCTCAGGGTGGGGGCAGTGCAGAGAGCTCCATGGCCCCCCTGCCTAGGAGCTGAACCTGCTGCTGGCCACTTCTGGGGCACAGCGCGGTGTTGGAACAGGTAGGGACTAGCCTGCCTTAGCCGGGCAGCACCACCAAGGGGACTTTTAACAGCCCGGTTGGCAGTGCTGACCAGAGTCTCTATGACCCAGTGCTTTACGTTCCGTGACCTGGTACTGGGTTATGATCCACAGTTTGAAAGCCACTACCTTAAGCAGTGGTGCTCAAAATGTTGTATTGGTGACCCCTTTCACACACCAAGCCTCTGAGTATGACTTTTTTATATTGAATACTGTTATAAATGCTGGAGACAAAGCAGGTTTTGGGGGTGGAGGCTGACAGCTCAACCCCCCCATCCCACAATCTCATGACACCCCCGCTACCCTAAGAAGTTATGACCCCCCCCCCCAGTTTGCAAACCCCTTAACAGCTTTCAAAATGATCTGCACTCCTCTCACATACAAGCACTTACCTCACTAGCAGTTTTATTGCCTAGTTCCTGTGAGATGGCACTGAAGGTTTCCAGGTGGGCTCCTCGCTCCTGGCAGGTGGTAAGAATGACACGGTCGGCCTCCCTGTAAGCAATACACCACAGTTATGGACACAGCTTGGAGCAGGAGACTGACCCTACAGCCACCTCAAGTATGAAAAAAAACCCACCAATGCACTTCAGCCTGAGTCAGGGTGGGATGCACAAAGGGACTCAGGTTGTTGCAATGCTGAGCATCATGGTGTCTAACTTTTAGGTGCTTAGAAAAATCACAGGAACTCCTCTGCCATCCCCAAAGCCCAAGTTAGCCACCTCTGGGGAACCTTCGACTGTGCCTCACAAAGCCAGCAAAATAGGCCAGGAGCCACCTAAACTAGCCACTGGGAAATACCAGCCAGAGCTCTTTCAGAGATAGGAAACCAAGTCTGGGCTGCACAGAAGACATCTAGCTCGGCTAGTGAGCCACACAATGGAGAAAGATTGGTGACTGGCTGCTTAAGTTGTGTACAGGATTTGAAACAAAACAGCTAGTGGGGGAGGGGAGGAGAGGCGGTGCCTGAAGAGGGGCAAGACTGCCCTTGCAATCTTTAGCCTAGTGGATAAGGTACTCATCCAAAATGTAGGAGGCACCCCCTCCTGAGGGAGAAGCGATTTGAGCAGGGATCTCCCACCTCACACGAGTATGCTAGGCTCGGCTATGGAGTGTCTCTTACATTCTCTAGCTTAGTTTAAGTATTCCATAGTTTAATTAATGTGGAACTTCAATAGGAGAGACTGAGGGCTGGTCTATACTTAGCCGCTAGTTCGGCGGCTGGAAATCGAACTTCCTGGTTCGATTTTATCGCGTCCAGACCAGACGCGATAAATCGAGCCAGGAAGTGCTCGCCGTCGACTGCGGTACTCCAGCTCAACGAGAGGAGTACCGCGGAGTCGACGGGGAGCCTGCCTGCCGCGTGTGGACCGCGTCTGAACCGCGGTAAGTTTGAAGTAAGGTATGTCGAATTCAGCTACGTTATTCACGTAGCTGAATTTGCGTACCTTACTTCGACTTGGGGGGTAAGTGTAGACCAAGCCTGAGGGAGTGCTACATCAGCATAGTCCATAGCCTAGTTGTTAGGGTACTCAACTGAGAGGTGGCAAATCCCTGTTCATATTCCTTCTCTCCCTTAGGAGGACAGGAGACTTGAAGTAAAGATAGCTAACATCGTAGGTAAGTATCCTGGCCCCTAGGCTAAAGATTATAAGGGAGATCCTCCCGCCAGGGCTATGTATGAACTCACCAGAGAGGCTGGATCTGGTAGGCCTGCTCAGAGGCCACTGTCACGGAGTGTAGGGAAGTCAGGGCCCTGCACCCCCAATTCCTGCGATTCACCGTGACACTCAGCCAGCCAGTAAAGTGGAAGGTTTATTAGACGACAGGAACACAGTCCCAAACAGAGCTTGTAAGTACAACCAGGACCCCTCAGTCAGGTCCCCAGGGGGTAGGGAGCTTATCCATCAGCTTTGGGGTTTCCTCCGCTTCTCCAGCCAGCTCTAAAACTGAAACCCCTCCAGCCACCGCCCCCGGCTCCTCCCCAAGCCTTTGTCCAGTTTCCCAGGCAAAACGTGTCACCTGGCCTCAACCCCCCTCCTGGGCTCAGGTTACATGCTCAGGTATCATCGCCCTGGTATCCCATCACCAATGCAGACAGTCTCAATAAAACTCCCACGCAACATTCCCAGGTCAATCCGTCCCACTCCCTACTCCGTCACAGCGACCTATCAGATTGGGTCCCCTGCCTACAACTTGGGCAGCCACACACCTATTTTTTCCTTGTTTGCGAATCACGCTGAGGCTTAGGTGGGACACAGGTGTCCAGATGCCTATAATAGGGCAGCTGTGTACATGCATATGCAGGAGACAGGTGCCTCGCTGCCTAGAGTGAGGCTGCAGCACACATGGCCCAAGAAAAAAAAGGAAAAAGTTGGGCACTGAGTAAATTTAGGTGCAAGAGTTAGGCAACAGCCAAGCAAGTTTTTCATGAATAGCAGGTGTGCCTAAAACTAGGACTTAGGCATCTTCATGGCTGTCACCCTAAGTGTCTCTCTCAAGAGCTGCCGCACACTGGTGATGGCCAGCTTCAGGCATTGTGCTTAGCCTTTCGTGGGCAGGTGCATAAGCAGCAGGTTGCATAGGCAGGGGAGGCATTGCCTCCCCAAATAGCCAGGCATAACCCCACCCCCTGCCGCGATGCTCCCTGAGTGCGGCTACAGCTCCAGTATCCTCCCAGATCCGAGTCCAGCCCCCCAATGTTCTGGGGTTGGGGCTGCGCATTGGCCACCTGCCTGCCCCACCCCACCCCAGGCTGGGGCTGCCTGCCGCCTGCCCTCCCAGTGCTCCTTTGTGGCTGGGGGGCTAGCTGTGGGACTGGGCCGGTGGCCGTGGCGGGGGGGGGAGGGGAGGTCTTGGCTCTTATGGGGCCCTGGGCAGAAGGAGCGGGGCCCTGGGCAGAAGGGGCAGGGCTAGCCTCCCCCAGCCAGCAGTGCATGCGCCACCCATGCACAGGGGGGCTCCTAAAGAAAACCCCCTTCTTTTCCAGCCCAAAGTATTGGACTTATTATTAGAACCTGCCTGAAACAAGGCAGTATGTTTAACAGCTGGGATGAAAAAAGTGTTACTAGAGCAGTTAAGAACAGCAGCATAAGAAACTAGACTGGAGAGCAAGACGAAGATAGATGAGAAGACACAAGGAAAGACATCAGGAACGGGAGACAGCAAGATGGACAAAAGGGAAACTATAGCAGCTGAGAGATGAGCCACTGCAGATACAATATAACAGGAACATACAATATGATGCATGAGGACATACCTGGTCCAGAGAACAACCTTCTCCCCAGTAGAGCTGACTTTGCTATTCTTTGCACACACGGTGGCTTCCATGATTTTCTGCTGCTGCTCATCTTCCCTTTCCCCCTTGTCGGAAGGAACTGCTCTACATTCCAGCTCTTCAGACTGTTGCTGCACCTTGAAGCAGCAGTTACTTTTATTTGACTTTAATCTGCTCTGTGATTCCTGGTCAAAAGGAGAGACTCCAGTGCAGCCAGTACCATCTGCTTCTGATAGTACACGATCACTGGGGACCTGCAAGTGGGAGCTCTTATCCAGTATCTTCAGCCTGAGTTTTCTAACTGCTCCCAACCAATTCCTCCTCACTTCAGGTTTTCCTTTCAGGGGGAAGGACAATCTCTCCATTTCTCTCCCTCCTGATTTTGAAGGAGCGTGTCCAGGTTTAACTGATGACTTGAACTGAAGGGCTACATTCTGTTGCGAGCGCCTTCCAGGGAAATGATCAGCTCCCGTGCAGCCTGTCCTTGTAGCTGAATCAGACCCTAAAACATGCTTGGCAAGGCCAAGGGAACCCTCACCAGTCCCTCCACGTCTCTGGTTTAATCTTGTCTCACTATCACTTCCTAGACCGTAAGGGTTGCTTTTGTTCTGTTGAGGCAGCTTTATATTAAATCCAGAGTCAGTAATTCCAGTTTGACTTTCTTTTGCAGTGTCCACAACAGCAGTGACCCCAGCTTTTGCAGAGCACAGAGGGCTTCCTGTAGAGCTCAGTTCTAGGACCCTGCTATTCGGCAATCCTCCTTCAGAAGACACGCCTCTGCAGCAGATCAACTGTCCTTCTAGTTGAGATCCTGCCCAAGAAACCCCACAAGATTAGTAGGAGGAACTTCTGAAGGACAGAGATTTTAGATTGGAGCACAAAGTGCTGTAAACCAGAGAACACAGTTTTAACCTCTGCTGTGCACAGATCACTCCCCAGTGCAGTTTCCCTACGTATGTTACTGTGTAAGAGTGCTGGGTGCAGAGGTAAATCACAGCTAGCGAGGCTCTGAATATCCCGTGCCTGTAAAAAGGTGTTACACATGCTAGTATCCTAATGTGGACTAGGTGCTGCCTGCCCCTTAATAGTGAAACATGGAAAACAAGATGGCAGCGCCATATATGCTAGGCATCATGGTACACAAACTGAGAACCTTTGAACTTGGCCCCAGCATCTTCCCCAGCAAGTTGTAATCCAACTGCACTTATGGCCAGGAGGGGCATGCCCCCTTAGTGTATTTACACTGCCAGTCATCCTGTGTATTGTGTGTGTCAGAAAGAAGGTAACCAAGGAGGAGATAATTTAAAGGAAGGCTGGGAGGAGGTTGGTTTGAATTGTTGTGTTAAGATCGGGGGGGAGGGAGCATAACTAAATAAGTTCTCTGGACAGATGGAACTGCAGGGAAAAGTGTGCTGGCAAGGAGAGCTTACATAAGTTAGTAATTCTGTGGAGGTGGCAGGAAGGCTCTCCAGTCCCATGGAGGGGAGAGTTCCACGAACAATCCAGCAGAATAGTTTAGATTTGATGGGGGCTCTTTGTTCAGGTGGGCTAAGATGACTGACATGGGGGCAGGTATACTTCGTAGATTGGGTATTTAGGCCACCTAGGGCCAAGGGGAGGGCACATGGAAGGAGCTGAATTAACAACTATTTCTAATCATCCTCATTTTAACCTCAATGAATCTGCATTTAGACTTAAGACCCATCTCAATTTGTCTGCAAAATTTACACAGTGACAGTTGCCCATGCATATGACATTCACAGACCTGAAGACAGGGAGTCTGCTTTCCTAGACATGGTTTTTGTTCTGCTCTGGCCATTCTCCACTTCATCCCTGTACTCCAGAGACTCCTCTGCAGGCTCCTTCTCTTCAGGCTGAGGGCTCAACTCTCGTTGAGTCAGGCTGTTAGTGAGCTCTTGAGAATCTTTATTTTTATAGGATTTGCTATCACACACCTGCAGATCAGAATAAGAACTTCATAGATTACAAACAGACTCTCAGGGTATCTGACCAACCCATAGCACCACAGCCCTTGTGTAGAATCATAGAAACAATGGGGCTGGAAGGCCCTCAAGAAGTCATGAAGTCCAGCCCCCTGAACTGAGGTAGGACAAAGTAAACTTAGACCATCCCTGACACACGTTTGTCCAACCTGGTCTTAGAAACCTACATGATGGGGATTCCACAGACTCTCTTAGAAGCCTATTTCAGATCTTAACTTCCCTTATCAATAAAAGTTTTTCCAAACATCTAACCGAAATCTCCCTTGCTACAGATTAAGCCAATTACTTCTTGTCCTGGACAGGAAGAACAATTGATTACCGTCCTCTTTACAACAGCCCTAAACATATTTGAAGACTGTTATTAGGTCCCCACTCAGTCTTCTTTTCTTAACACTAAACATGCCCTGTTTTTTTTTAAACTTTCCTCACAGGTCAAGTTTTCTAAATCTTTTATAATTTTTGTTGCTCTCCTCTGGACTTTCTCCAATTTGTCCACATGTTAAGTGTGGTCCCAGAACTGGTCATAGTACTCTGAGGCCTCCCCAATACTGAGCAGAGTGGAACAATTACCTCCCATGTCTTGCATATGACACTCCTGTTAATATACCCCAGAATGATATTAGCAACTGCATCACACTGTTGATTCATAGTCACTTTGTGAGTCACTATAACACTCAGATCCTTTTCATCAGTACTACTGCCTCCCACTTATTCCCCATTTTGTAGCTCTGTGTTTGACTTTTGCTTCCTAAGAGTAGTACTTTGCACTAGTCTTTTTTGAATTTCATCTTGATTTCAGAACAATTCTCCAATTTGTCAAGATCCTGTTGAAATCTAGTCCTCTCCTCCCAAGTACTTGTAACCCCTCCCAGCTTCATGTCATCTGCAAATTTGATAAGCATACTCTCCACTCCATTATCCAAGTCATTAATGAAAATATTGAATAATATCAGACCGAGGACTGACCTCTGAGAGACCATGCTAGATACACTCTCCCAGTCTTTCAACCAGTTGTGCACCCATTCTTAGAATAAATTAATCTAGACCGTGTTTTCCTAGAACCCTCACTATCCTCCAGTCCAGACTCAGCCTTCAACTTAGTGGTTTATGTACTTTGTCTTTAGGAAACCAAACTTCTATATCCATGAACACATAAAGGTTCAGCTCACATAGTGTCTAAGCAAGCTTCCTCCACACAGTCTTACCTCTGCCCTGGAAGAGCACAAAAATCTCAGTTATGTAACACAGCAAGGGGGGGGATAGTAAAAGGGAATGGAAGGCGTATGGGAAGAGAAAAGTTAGCACAGTTAGAGCTCATAAGAGGGAGGTGCTTATTTTGGTGGTTCCCCTTTGGATTTTTGTTTTAATTAGGACTGTCAGGCGATTAAAAACATTAATTGTGATTAATCGCGCTGTTAAACAATAGATTACCATTTATTTAATTATTTTTGGATGTTTTCTACATTTTCAAATATATTGATTTTAATTACAACACAGAATACAAAGTGTACAGGGCTCATTTTGTATTTATTTTTATTACAAATATTTGCACTGTAAAAAAACAAAAGAAAAAGTATTTTTCAATTCACCTAATACAAGTACTGTAGTGCAATCTTTGTCATGAAAGTTGAACTTACAAATGTAGAATTATGTACAAAAAAAACCTGAATTCAAAAATAAAAACAGTGTAAAACTTTAGAGCCTACAAATAGACTCAGTCCTACTTCTTGTTCAGCCAATCACTCAAACAAGTTTGTTTACATTTACGGGAGATAATGCTGCCCACTTCTTAATTACGTCACCTGAAAGTGAGAACAGGCGTTCACATGGCACTGTTGTAGCTGGCGTCGCAAGATATTTACATGCCAGATACACTAAAAATTCATATGTCCCTTGATGCTTCAACCACCATTCCAGAGGACATATGTCCATGCTGATGACGGGTTCTGCTCGATAATCCAAAGCAGTGCGGACTGACGCATGTTCATTTTCATCATGAGTCAAATGCCACCAGCAGAAGGTTGATTTTATTTTTTGGTGGTTTGGGTTCTGTAGTTTCCAAATCAGAGTGTTGCTCTTTTAAGACTTCTGAAAGCATGCTCCACACCTCATCCCTCTCAGATTTTGGAAGGCACTTCAGATTCTTAAATCTTGGGTTGAGTGCTGTAGCTATCTTTAGAAATTTCACATTGGTATCTTCTTTTCATTTTGTCAAATTTGCAGTGAAAGTGTTCTTAAAATGAACGTGTGCTGGGTCATCATCCGAGACTGCTACAACATGAAACATATGGCAGAATGCAGGTAAAACAGAGCAGGAGACATACAATTCTCCCACAAGGAGTTCAGTCACAAATTTAATTAACGCATTATTTTTTTAACGAGCATCATCAGCATGGAAGCATGTCCTCTGGAACGATGGCCGAAGCATGAAGAGGCATATGAATATTTAGCGCATCTGGCACGTAAAAAACTTGCAACACCAGCTACAACAGTGTCATGTGAACACCTATTCTCACTTTCAGGTGACATTGTAATTAAGAAGTGGGCAGCATTATCTCCGTAAATGTAACCAACCTTGTTTCTCTTAGCGATTGGCTGAACAAGAAGTAGGACTGGGTGGACTTGTACGCTCTAAAGTTTTACATTGTTTTGTTTTTGAGTGCAGTTATGTAACAAAAAAACCTACATTTGTAAGTTGCACTTTCGTGATAAAGAGATTGCATTACAGTAGTTGTCTGAGGTGAATTGAAAAATACTGTTTCTTCTGTTTCATTTTTACAGTGCAAATATTTGTAATAAAAAAATAATATAAAGTGAGCACTGTATATTTTGTATTCTGTGTTGTAATTGGAATAGATATATTTGAAAATGTAGAAAAACATACAAAAATATTTAATAAATTTCAATTGGTATTCTATTGTTTAACAGTGCGATTAATCACGATTAATATTTTTAATTGCGATTAATTTTTTTTAGTTAATCGCATGAGTTAACTGTGATTAATCGACAGCCCTAGTTTTAATACATTACAGTCTGGAGACAGGAAGAACAAGCCTGGGTGAATTAACAGACACCAAACAATGGGATATGCCGTACAACTGTTCCTTGCCCCTACCATCCCAGTGCTCAGCCCCCTTCAACTGACCTTACAGCTGGAATGGCTGCAGGTCCTCCTCTTGCTCTTCTTTAGTTTGGGGTCACTGCTCCCTTCATGGCAGGAGCACGAACATTCCTTCACCCCATCCACCCACTCCATCTCCTGGAAATAAACACACCAGCTGACATGGACTTTCCTGATCCACACAGAGCACTGCACAGATAACACATGCACACCAAAACAGAAGCAGGTCACAGGCTGGCCAGTCCACAAAAAGAGCCAGAGCAGGGCCAGTCTGACATCCCCCAGGGAGAACTAAAGCAAGTAAATTGCCAACAGAGCTCAAAGCAGGTGAAGTTTGGGTAGAAGCATTTTAATCCCTTTCATCCTGTAGCCTAACTCTTTAGAGAAAAGCACATGTGTCTTCCTAGACATGTATTTGCCTGGAGTATGGAAGAGGCCACATGCTGTGGGCTAGTCAGATATCCCAGTCCCACCTTGTCATTGTTCTGGCCTCCAATCTCTTTCCTCTTTTTATTTTTCGAGGCTGTGTGCATCTTGGGGGTTTCCTCCTCCTCTTCTACATCTGGTAACGACACCTCTTCAAACCCGTCAAACTAAAAGAAGCATAGAGGCTGTGTTACCACCACAACAAGGAGAGCTTTCAGTAGACTGAGCGTTCATACTCACTCCTACAAAAGGCAGCGTGACAAGTTCACAAGAATGTCAAAAGTAACAAGTGCTGAAAGAATTTGAATTTTCCACCCCGACCATCCCCAGCCACCCACAATCCCAGATCTTTATCCCATCTCTTCCTTTCTGGGTCTGTCGCCTCCCTATTAAGACTCTCAGTCAGGGATCCAAGCCTTCCTACTTCTCTCTCCTAGTTTAGAGAAAGGGTCTCCACCTCATACTCTTTCTCCTCTGTCCAGTTGATCTCCTCAAAGTCTCCTATGCGGCTGGCTGATGGACGTAAATGATCAAAGAAGATGGAGAATTCATCCTGCAGGTGGTCATGTCCTTTCAGCAGCTGCCACATCTGGGTCTTCAACTGTGGGAGAAAATTCTGGAGTAAGAATGGTGGAACATGGCAATGGCTTCAAGGTCTGCGCAACAAACAAGACCCTTTGCTTGAAACAAACACAAAAGCTCAGGTGCAGTGTTACCACCTGTACTGTAGTTCATTTTTGGATCAGAGTACTTCCAGGAATCATCCTGGCACTGAAGAATCTCCCCAGAAATCTTAGGCAGAGGTTACTTGAGACAAACTAAAGCATCAACCTGCAAGGTGATAAAAGCAAGGTGGGAAAGAGAAGATACATAGGGGCCAATTAGCTGTACAATCTTGTGGAGGTAATGATAGATCAGTTCTCTCTGCTCTTACTCCAGATGGGGGGTGTATCTCAGAGCTGGTTATACCACTGCAATCTGAAAGTCAGAGGGGGAAACGCTATGGGGTATCTACCTCTGCATTCTCAGGGCTGGCTGAGGGGGAGGGGAATATATAGAAGTTTGGTTACCTCTGCAATGTCCTGGGGGAGGCAGTCTGCACAGCTTTGCAGCACTTTGATGATCTTTTGATGGTGAGTGGGATTTTCAGCAAAGCAGATTTCCAGCTGCCTGAGGAACTTCCGGCTTTTGTCAAATGCTTGCTGCTCTTCAAACTGATCAGAGAACAAGGAGGACCTTTTCACTCGGGATACACCAATCTACATTTACAGGCATTTCTAATCTGCTTTGAGAAGCTACGTAAAGTATATCTGCTCCAGCCAAGAGTTTTACAACTCACTTAGGACTGTGGACTGCAGGCCTCAAACAGAATACTGCAGTGATTGAAAACTGGTTTCAAATCTCTAACTGCTTAAGAGGTGCAGTGCAGAAGTTAAACTAGGCCACGTGTTTACTGAAAACAGTTCAGATTTTTAAATCTACAGATATACCAAGTTACGGAAGGCTGTAGCTGTGTATCATGCTGCAGCATTCCTCAGCTCTGTGGAGGATCTTATGGAAAAGTTAATTAAATAATTAGCACCTCCATTCAATTTATCCCTTCCTCTATACTTAATTCTTCCTCCATTCCTGCAAGGTTCAATACATGTGTCTTCTCAAACTCTCCTGTTTGCTTCTTCCCTTTTACCTACCAATCCACACTCCAGAGCTTGCTCAGGCAAAAGAAAGGCAGCAAAGTCTGTGAGCAGCTGTGGCCACTCCTGCAGGAGGGTCTGGAGAGTGGAATACAGATCCACAGCAGTTGGCTTGTGGGTGCTGGTCTCAAACTCATAGATAACACGAAGGAAGTCTTCATACTTCCCAGGCACATTCCGCAAAGCTTCGCGCACCTGCAAAGCACATCAGACAGTTATGAGACTTTCTCCCCGCTTATGAAAACTCAGGAGGAAAGAAAAGTTAATTCAATAGCTTCTTCGATACTCAGCACTTCTACATTACTTCACATTTTCAAACTGCTGTACCAACAAACTAATTATTCTCTAGATTCAGGAGCATGGAATGGTCACAAGAGACAGAAGTGATCCCAAGTGGGTTACAAATTTTGGAAACACATCAGATCTGGATGGATTCTTCAGCTAAGTGGCTCAGGTGTTAATTCTGTTACAGAGGAAACATTTATCAGGAAATGCCAACTGGAAATGCCAGCAATTTGATTTTCTTTATTTTAACAGAAATACAAGACTCACATTCTGTCTGATGACAAAGCTCTAAGGTTAGCCTGTTCGTTCTTACCCTGTTCAGATAGGCCTGTGCAAATGCCAAATCCTTCTGTTCCCTGAGAGGATCTCTCTCCAGAATCTCTTCATCATACAGCAGCAGCAACTTGGAGGTGTCTTTGCTGGCACGAGTCCGTCCCCTCTTATTCCTGGCTCTGTGGGAGTTCCTGTTTTTCCCAGGCACTTTGGCATTCTCATCTGAAAGCACAGTCCCCATGCAAATTCCTCATTCCAGGGAAATGCAAAACCCGTCGTCGTTGGTGCTGTGGACCATACTGACTGCCAGGAAAGGGTTCCCTTCCTTTTATTCATCATTAGGCCCTGACCCACAGACATTCTCTTGTCCTGCCAGAGCAAGGAATGTGTTTATGGGTCATATAAGCTCCCCTTTATTTTGTGGGAGACCACAGAAAATGAATGTAAAGAGAGAAGTGAACTGTGTATTATAAATTTTATTGAGTATCCTTATCCCGTTGAGTCAGCTGAACAGATTTCTTCTTTAGAGTATGGAAACATTTGCCTCATTTTCACGGTCACTGAATCCCTTCCAAACTTACAGCTCAAACGCACCCAGTGAGCAGAGAGCATGAGATAAAGACCAGTCCAAGGCCTTGATGCAGAGACTGAATGAACTGAGTACAGTGCATCTGATCCGTGTTACTAATGTGCCTCACATTCTCATATTTTGGAGAATTAGGGCGCAACAGAGCTCGTATCACAAGGGATGAAGAGTAGGAAAGATGCTTCAGTGATGAAGGCACTAGTCTAGGACTTAGGAGACACAGAGTCCGTTTCCTGCTCTGCCACAGGTTTCCCATGTGATCTTGGACAAGTCACTTAACCTCTCTGTGGCTCATTCCCTATCTGTAAAAGGGGAATAAGAATACTTCCATACTTTACAGGAGTGTCATGAGGATAACTACATTAAAGACTGTAAAGCGCTTTGAGATCTACTGATGAAAAGCTCTATATAAAAATCTAGGTGGTATTATTAATTTTATTATTATTATTCATGAGGGTCTAGGTCTCTGCCTCTTCCTGGGCCTGCTTCACAATCTGGGAAGGCGCAGTCTGCTTTTGGAAAACAAATTAAAAAAAAAAAAAAAAAAAGCCAGAAGCCCACAGATCCGCTGGACTTAGGGTTATTTTCAGCATCACTAGCTCTATCTTCCTCCCCATTCCTAAACCCTGTGGTTTTGAGTCCTACTTACTGACTTCACTTACACGGGGACTTTTTTAGTCTCGTTAGCAGATTCCGCTGTGTTGCTAACATATCTGGATTCTATTCTGAATTACACTGAATAAGCTGCTCCATTCTGACTGCAGAATCTTTATTATCAGTGATGTCTGATGAAGAAAGAATCCCAAACACTTTTCAGTTCCCAGCATGAGCCACCGGAAAACTCATCTTGTGACTTGTACAGTCAAACAATATGACCTGTAAAGGCCAGAAAGAGACCATGGAACCCCACAATCTCATTTATGCAGTCACATTTCAGAGTATAACTGTACTGCAAGTGGATGGATAGGAGGGGACTGCAGGAGGGCCCAGGCACTGCGAGAGAACTGTTTTTGTAGACTCTTGTTTCTCAAAGCCTCTTTTCCAAAAGCAAGACAACACTGTTAAACCATGAGGAAATTACACATTTGTTGTTTTGCTGCAGCAGACCAGTTCTGTTTCCCCCCGTGACAGTCTGTACCCCTATGTTCACCCCTTTTACAAGACTATGATAAATTTTGTATAAGGTATACCTTGTGAGGTATCGTTTGAAAACTCAATACATTGCTGATCATTATTGTCCTGGTAAAATACATGTGGTAACATTGTATATAAAGTTATAAAATTCTACTCTATGATATTACTAAGACATGTTCCAAGTTTAGAAAAGCAGCCACAAACCAGTTCCTCAGAGACAAAAGGCAAACTGATGCCTCAGCCAGGTGTCAACAAAATCAAATGGACTATCACCTGGTTAAGTGTTGCCAACTTGGCTACTTTGTCACTAGATTTAGTGACTTCCTAGTGAAGAAATAAGTGTCAAAGTAACCAGTGACAAATCTAGCAACTTTCACTGCTGATTACAGTGACATTCAGAGAAAAAAGTCACCAATATGTATAGTCAAAAAATCATTCTCAAGCAGCTGAATAATGTTAATAAAATCCATCCCATGCTCTTACTACATTCTGTTGCACTCCAAGTCAATCTTGTTATGTCTCAACTGAGCATGCCCTCAGAAGGAATCACATTCCAGGGCTTCTTGGATTGAGATCACTAAAATCTGCAGGCAAGGAAAAGAAGTTGGAGGAGGCCAATTAAATGCTTTACTAAAGCCAGGTGCACTTTGGAGAGAGCAGCACATTAGCCAAGGCTTGTTTTTACCCAAATGTGTTTTCTCACTGCTCCATAGTCGGATAAAAGGTGTAGCTATCTTGATTTCGGCTCCGCTTTACTCCTTCCCCTGGATTGGCCTGGGGTTAGCTGCCCAGCTGTTACATTTGATCCCACTATGGAGTAGCAAGAACGAACACATTTGGATAAAAACAAACCCTGGCTAATGTGGTGCTCTCTGCAAAGGCCTGGTCTACACTATGAGTTTAGTTCGAATTTAGCAGCGTTAAATCGAATTAACCCTGCACCCGTCCACACAACGAAGCCATTTACTTAGACATAAAGGGCTCTTAAAATCGATTTCTGTACTCCTCCCCGACCAGGGGAGTAGCACCAAAATCGACAGTGCCATTTCGAATTAGGGTTACTGTGGCCACAATTCGACGGTATTGGCCTCTGGGAGCTATCCCACAGTGCACTATTGTGACCGCTCTGGACAGCAATCTGAACTCAGATGCACTGGCCAGGTAGACAGGAAAAGCCCCGCGAACTTTTGAATTTCATTTCCTGTTTGCCCAGCGTGGAGCGCTGATCAGCACAGCCAGAATAAAAAAAGAGCTCCAGCATGGACCATACGGGAGATACTGAATCTGATCTCTATATGGGGAGATGGATCTGTTCTTTCAGAACTCCGTTCCAAAGGACGAAATGCCAAAACATTTGAAAAAATCTCCAAGGCCATGATGGACAGAGGCCACAACAGGGACTCAACACAGTGCTGTGTGAAACAAGCGTACCAGAAAGCCAAAGAATCAAATGGATGCTCACAGAGGGAGGGGCGACTGACGACTGTAGCTATCCCACAGTTCCCGCACTCTCCGAAAACCATTTGAATTCTCAATGCCTGAAGGGTCAAAAATATTGTCGCGGGTGGTTCAGGGTATATGTCGTCAGCCCCCCCCGTGAAAGCAAAGGGGAAAAAAATCGTTTCTCGCCTTTTTTCACTGTCACCGTATGTCTACTGGATGCTGCTGGCAGACGCGGTGCTGCAGCACTACACAGCAGCATCCCCTTGCCTTGCCTTGCGGACGGCAGACGGTGCAGTATGACTGGTAACCATCATCGTTGTTCTGTGGGTGCTCCTGGCTGGCCTCAGTGAGGTCAGTCAGGGGTGCCTGGGCAGACATGGGTGCTCCTGGCTGGCCTTGGTGAGGTCGGTCAGGGGCGCCTGGACAAAAAAGGGAATGACTCCAGTTCATTCTCTTCTTTAAGTTTTGTGTAATGGAGATTCAGTCCTGCCTGGAATATCATGCCAGCTGGAGGCTTCTGCCTCAGGCTGCTCTCCCAGTCGGCAGCACTGCACGGTCGCACCTACCCCAGCCTACCCCTTGCTCCCAGGGCTCAGAATCGGATACTTAGACCTCTACATTTTGCTGCAAATAAAAAATAAAGCTGCCGTTTAGAACTGTCCCCCAACATACATAACCTAGGATATTTTGTATTTTACCAGTGTCAACCAAAGGCCCACACACAAATGGAGATTCAGTCCTGCCTGTACTTCTATCCTAGTGCTTATCACAGATTCCCATTTTCAGCTATAGGCTGAGCAAGTGCAGTTCACTCAACTTCGCTGTAAGCCAACCGCCCTCCCCTCCCCCCTTTGATCTCTGCTTGCAGAAGCAATAAAGTCAGTGTTGTTTCAAATTCATGCATTCTTTATTACTTCATCACACAAATGGGGGGAGAACTGCCAAGGTAGCCCGGGAGGGGTGGGGGAGGAGGGAAGCAACGGGTGGGGTTGTTGTAGGGGCACCCCCTAGAATGGCATGCAGCTCATCATTTCTGCGGGATGTCTGGGGCTCTGACCCGGAGCGGCCGTTTGCCTCTCTGGTTCTTTAGTAGGCTTGCCTGATATTCTAGGCAGGACTGACTCTCCATTAGACAAAACTTAAAGAAGAGACTGACCTGGGGAGTCATTCCCATTTTTGTCCAGGCGCCCCCAACCGACCTCACCGAGGCCGGCCAGGAGCACCCATGACAGCAGCAGACGGTACAGTATGACTGGTAACCATCTTTGCTAACTTGCAAAGGCAAGGGGATGCTGCTGTGTAGCGCTGCAGTACCGCATCTGTCAGCAGCATCCAGTAGACATACGGTGACAGTGAAAAAAGGCTGAACAGGCTCCATGGTTGCCATGCTATGGCGTCTGCCCGGGCAATCCAGGGAAAAGGGCACAAAATGATTGTCTGCCGTTGCTTTCACGGAGGGAGGATTGACTGACGACATTTACCCATAACCACCTGCGACAAATTTTTGACCCCATCAGGCATTGGGATCTCAACCCAGAATTCCAATGGGTGGGGGAGACTGCGGGAACTATGGGATAGCTACCCACAGTGCAACGCTCCGGAAGTCGACGCTAGCCTCAGTACATGGATGCACACCACCGAATTAATGTGCTTAGTGTGGCCGCATGCACTTGACTTTATACAATCGGTTGCCAAAAATCGAATTCTGTAAATTCGGAGTAATCCCGTAGTGTAGACATACCCAAAGTGTGCCTGGCTTTAGCAAAGTATTTAATTAGCCTCCAGATTATAGTGATTCCTTGCCTGCAGATTACAGTGATCTCAGCCCAAGAAGCCTTGGAATGAGTTTCCTTCTGAGGACATGCTCAATTGAGACGTAATGAGATTGACTTGATGTGAAACTGAATGTCGTAAGAAGAGCATGGAATGGGTTTTAACAACACTTGTGATGGGGCAAGGCCAGATGGCTACAGTAAAGTAGTGAGGAACAGGTATGTTAGCCCCAGGCTAAACAAATCCCTGGTACCATGGTAACCAAATGGCAGTTGCTCCAGGTTAAGACAGACACCTGGGGCCAATTAAGATCCTTCTAGAAGGCAGTGGAGATAGCTAGATTGATTGGGACACCTGAAGCCAATCAAGGCCTGGCTGGAACTAGTTAAAAGCCTCCCAGTTAGTCCGTGTGGTGTGGGTGGCAGGAGCTAAAGGAGGGAGCTGTGCTGTTGGAGGAATGAAGTAGTACGAATCCATATCAGGTGCAAGGAAGGAGACCCTGAGGTAATTGTGAAGAAGTTATTGAGTGGAGGGCTGCTGTGGGGAAGTAGCCCAAGGAATTGTACACATCCTATTTCCAAAAAGTCAGCTTCCATAGCAGCTAATTTTAGGGTCCCTGGGCTGGAGCCCGGAGTAGAGGGTGGGCCTGGGCTTCCCCCCTCCCCTCCCTGATTAATCACTGATACTGGGAGACAACAGAGACTGTGCGAGGGAGGGTTGTTTCTCCTCACCTTCCTTGCTGGCTTATGATGAAAATGGCTCAGTAGACTGTGACCCTTGCCTCTAGAGAGAGAAGGGCTATGTGGAGGGTCACAGTGAGCCTCTGAGGTTAGCAAAATCCGTCAGGAAACGCAGGACCCACGGAGTCAAGGACAGAACTTTGTCACACACTATAGAGCTGCTTGTGAATTATTTTGTAACTATACTCACCTGGGTGCGCGCGCACACACACTATATCTCACACACACACACACACACACACACACACACACACACACACTCACACTCACACTCAGGAGGTTCCAATCACCACAGACTGTCTCCTGAACCCCAGATGGAGATGATTCTCAAAGAAGGGGAAAAAAGCATAAGAATGGGGAACAGATCCCTCAAATTATTCCTCCCTTTCTTTCTACCCATGGCAGCCACAACATCTGAGGAATAAAGAAACAGCTTGGGACTGAGGGAAGGATGCTGTCTGAAAGAAATTCAGCCAGTAAAACTGTTGAAGCATGTGGAGAGAGAGACTTTTGCGTAAAATTCACTTAGCTTGTTAAGATAGGTGTTAGTTACATTTTACTTTTATTTTCTTATTACCAATTCTGACTTTTTATGCTTCATTACTTGTAATACTATAGAAAGATAGTTGTTTTAAGTTAATAAACTTGTTTATTGCTTTATCTAAACCAGTGTCCTTGGACTGAAGTGTCTGGGAAATGCCATTTAAGATAAGAGGATTTGTGCATATCATTTTCTATTAATAAAATGACAGACTTTATATGAGCTTGTGTTGTCCAGTAGAGGGCTAAGCAGTACAAGATGCACATTTCTGGGGGAAAGCCTGTGACTAGGAATTTGCTTGGTGTTGCTCCACAACAGTGTAACTCAAGAGTGGCTGGCCATAGCACTCATACAGTATAGTTAGAGTAATTTACATGCTGAAGGCTGTGTGTGAACAGACCAGGAGTGGTTGCTCTCACAGTGAAGCAGTGTAAAAGGCACCTCAGGTTGGAGAATTGAGGGGACACAGCTATTCAACAGTCCAGATTGTACCCTGAGTAATGTCACACCTCCATATAGAGATAATTAACTCACCTGGTGGCATTCTGTTGGTTTCCACCTCTGGGGCAACCTTTGTAAAAATGAAGGCAGATTTGGGTTCCTCTGCTGCATCTTCAGCTATCTCATCTGTCATTTCATCTTCTTTTTGCAAACTTTCCATTCCTTCCCCTTCTCCCTCCTCCTCCTCTTCCTCTTCCGGCTCTGAGTTCTCTTCCTGGGAATTCTCTTCCTCAGAATCTCCCTCCTGGCTCAGACGCCTCTCTGTTGCAAGCCAAGTCAGTTTTTCCATTGTCTCCTTTAGATCAAAACACCCAAAAATCATTAGTCTTTGTATGCCATTCAACTACTACCTCATTTAATTGTAATCCTAACTACTAACCCCAGGTATCAACTTAGTTCTTGCCAACAAATGATTAACATAATTAACAGTGACATGATACCATCTAACCCAGGAACGGGAGCTGCCAGCCTCCACACGGCTGCTAAAATCAAAGTAATCTGACATTCGTTTATAAGTGTGAAACTGTGCATGTATTTCTTTGGTAGAGTTTTGTCTATTTTTTATGCTTGTTTGAATTAATTTATCCTGGGGAACTCTCATTAAAAATAATTTCTGCAAAGTGCGCAGAACAAACAAGGAGGAAGCTCAGCTGAGGAAGCCATTACAACTCCAGAAAAATTGAAACCTGGCCATTTGCAATTTATGCTCCTAACCTAGTCTGTAAGCTCCTCAGGACAAGAGTTGGTCCTTTAATTTGTAATGTGCCATGCACACTCTTGGCACCATATAAATACACAATGAGATGGTTCTTACAAAGTGTGGCTTTATCTCATTTGCAGAATTCATTATCTAGGCTGCTACGTTTTTACCTGAAGTTCTGGCACAGAAAGCACGGACTCTTCTGATGCTGATGACATTTCTTCTTCATCCTCCTCATCTTGAGTAAAATCATCAAAATCCTCCTCCTCTTCCTCTTCTTGTCCGTCCTTCTCTCCCACTGCTTCAGGGCCAGCTGGTGTCCCCATAGAATGACCATCCACACTGGATGAGTCCTCTGGTTTCCCCAATGGACTACTGAACTCTGCATCAACATCTGTTGAATGAGAGGCATTCTTGGAAGACTCATTGCTCATTTCCACCCCAGCTGTATCAATGTCTTCCAACTGCTGCTCATCCTGGGTGGGTGCCTCCACATCTCGTCCCTTCTCCTGATGGGACGTGCACTCTTTTTTAATTGCCTTCTGTTCACTCAGATGCTCAGATGTGACCTCCATGTCCAGCTCTTGCCCTAGATCCAGTATGAACTCCTCCTTTATTTCAGCGTTCAAGTTTTTCTTCTCCTGAGTTGGGTTTATTTCTTCAAGGGCATCACTGGAATCTTCAGGTTCAGTTTTCACTGTTTCTCCTAAAACCTCCAAATGAGGTAAGAGGTCCATGGGTAATGGCTCCAAGGCCTTCTTCTCCATTGTCTCCACAACTATCCAACTATAACACTCACTCTCTTTAACCTTCTCCTGGCTGTCATTGTCTGGAGTAGCAGGACCTGTGCTGTGTTCCTTCTTGGGGGAGATGGCAGAACATGAAGAGTAAAGCTCTTGGGGTTCCACTTTAGGCTCAGCTATGGGGAAGGAATTTTCATCATTTACAGCAAGACAGGAAGGGACTGGATTCAACTGCTCTTTGTCTTCAGCAGTTGATGAAGCAGGAAGACCTACAGAGTTAGGAGAGGCTATCAAGGGAGGAATAGAAGAGGACACTAGAGGCTGATTTAATGGGCATGGGAAGGTGGTGGGATTTACCAACAAAGTTGTAATTGGAATAGCCTGAGTGCCCCTGCCAACTGTTGTGTTTATGGGCTGAATCATATTGCAGCCATTGCCAATACTAACCACTTTCACTGTAGCAGCAGGTACCGTAAAGATGACAGGGGCTGGATGGATCAAAGGGGCAGCCTTTATCAGAGGGGTGGATTTTGTTCCCTTTTTCTTTTGGTATCCCCTGCGGACACAAGGTTTGCGGATTTTTGAGGCAGTCAATGCTGGCATCATTTTTGTCTGAAAAGTCACAGGGGTTGAGGATACTAGTGCTGGTGGTACAGCAGCTGGAAGAGAAGTTCTGGAATCAGATTGTAAAGTGGAGAGCACGCTTTGAAATTCAAAGCAATCGCCACTTCCCACTGCAGAAGGGATGTTCAAATGCTGCATTCCTGGCATAGTCTGCATAATTGTAGCTGGCTGGATTAAGCGGGGAATTTGAACCACAACTTTGCTAGGAGGAGCTTCTGATTGGGGTAACTTTACAGCAGCTTTCTGAATATTAATAGTGTTGGCACTCGGCTGCAGACAAGGACTTGGTCGAATGAGTAGGGGCTTCAGGGCTGCAGACCCTTGCCGCCTCCAAGCTCTCCTGGAGAAACGGTTGGCAAGAGGCTTCAGTGTCAGCACTATTCCCTTGGGCATGAGCAGAGGGTATTTTTCATCACATTGTGATTCCGAAGTTTCTTTTTCTGCCCTCAAAAGAGCAGATTCTGCACTGGGTGAACCTGCTGCCTCCCCAGCATCTTCTGCTAATTGCTTCAGCTCCCTTTGAATGGAGGACAAACTTGCCTGCAGGAGACAAGAACTTCAGTTATTTAAGTCCCCTGACCCTTACCACCTTCAGGCAACACAGAAAAAATTCCAGCGCAAGAGACAGTGACTTATTTTGATTCACTTTATGAATAAGTATATTTTATTTACTGCCCACTGTAAACACTGACAGGATGACACGATACAGAAGGAGCAATGTGATCATGAAGTTCATGACCTTGATGTGTCTCTTCCAAACTGGTTTGTAAAGACTCTCTTAGCAAGAGTCAAGTGTCATCAATTCCCCAATAGGATGGTCATGTGATAAAACCCTGAACTAGGGTTTGGGGGATCTGGGTCCAATTCTTGGCTCTGCCACATACTTCCAGTGTGACCTTGGCAAGTCAGTTCATTTATTTGTGCTTTGATTCATCCCTTCCACACAAGGGGTTGTGAGGAAAAAATAATGGCTGAGAGGCATTTAGGTACTACAAGTATAAGGGCCCCGTAACATGAGAGAACAACATTCAAATCCCAAATCTGCACTTTATTCCCAGGGCAACAGGTTCACAATGAGAACGTCTGTCTCTCAATAAGACTGTTTGGTGCAGCGAGGAAGATGGTAATTGCTGCCTGCAAGGTGGTGGCCAGCGTGCCCTGACATACAAACTGCAACCAGCAGCACCAGTGTCACACAGCCAATATTCTAACCAGATGAATTAAACAGTTCAAGCCAACAGCACTACAAGGTTAATCAGCTCTAGGGATAAGATGGGTGGAGGCATGATGCTTCTAAACAGCAGGCACTGTACCTTCAGCCAGAATGGCAAATGCTGCTCTTCCCTCTCCACAGGGGGTTTGCACTCAGAAGGCTGGATCTCCTCACAACACTTGAACAAAATGGGCAACTGCTTTGTTCTTTTATAATACTGAGGAGATGGGGTGGTAGAAGAAAAAAAAAAACCAAGGTCAGCAATCCCCATCCTTCATTAGTCTAACTGCCAGAGTTACTCCTACACTGATGGAGTGTTGCTCATATGTGTAAATATTAAGAAATGGAAAGAAGGGCTGAACAAAATCTTATGTCCTTTTTGACCCATTTCTCTGGACTGATCATTGGTGTAAACACATGTGTTCACTCACTCTACTTCCATACAGTATGCAAATCTACTGGTAGGAAGCTCTTTATTTCAGCATTATGTGAATTACAGTTGTATCAAGGTTCTCTGTAGTAGGTGTTGTGTTCTTGAGAGACAAAGCGGCAATCAGAGCAGTTGTAAAAGGTAAGTACAGAGGGTAGGGTCTCTGAAGGAGTCTTCATTCTTATTGGAAGCGAGGTATCATGGTCTCTGAAGAAATTAAGGGCAGACCGAATGTAAACTCTTAGGGGAAGGAACTGTGTCTTCTGTTATGTGTGGGCAACACCTCGCAAACATGTAAAATACAAATGCATACAAACTATAGATTGTGTCACTTACTCTGATGATATTGTCAGGGGCACGGTTCATATTGAGGTTCTTGATTCTCACTGTCAGCTGGTGTGCAGTCTTTGCTGGCAGGAGATACTTGCTGATCAAAGGTTTAGGAAACTCTGTCCCTTCAAAGTGTTTCAGACCCAAAGCTAATAAACTGAAAGGAAAAAAAATTCTGCCAACGATTCAAATCAAAAGAAACTGCAAATGCTCTCAGCTTGTCCTTCACATCTGTTAACATCCCTGGAGTTTCTCAATCTGGTTAGCCACAGCAACACAGAGAAGACAGAGTATGGAATTAAAACAGCCCAATCAACTGCTGAATGCTCAACATGGTTTAATCTAATGAAACAAATTGTTAACGACGCCAACACAGAATTCGACTGAAGACACATTAATAAATCAAGATGGGGAGTATGTTGGTTCAGGAGCATCTCAATATACTCAGATTTGTCCCTCTCATCACCTTGGAAGTCAGTACACATATTGGCATGGAAAATCCACAAAAGACTAAATCTGTCTGGCCTACAGAACTAATAGCAATTGTTCTACGGCTGGGAACAAAGGGCCAAAGTTGCCATCTGATTGTGCTATTCAGAATGTCCAAATATCCCATCAGTTGGCTACAGCACCCTACTTTTTCCCCCAAGGAAAGATGCCCCATTTTCATTTATTTTACACACTAACATTGAACACCTACTTGTCCTCTGCCTTTGTGAAGATAATCTTGTTCTGGGGGGCTTTGGCCTTCAGGGAGCAAATTGGTAACAGCTCTGGGTACATAAAGACTTTTCTCGTTGCCAGAATCCATGCCACTTGCTTTGGAAGACAGGGGAATTCATTTGCTGTGAAAAAAATCCGCAGATCAGCACAAGTTGATGAACCTCACAAGCATAGATGCTTAAATTCTGAAACTCACCATTACTTTATTGTAAAAGCTGTTGTCCCTATAACTCCTGCTGTGAAAGCAGTACAGGCTGGGGTTACTTTTCCCCCCAAAACCTTTGGATTTTGGTTTAGAACACAAGAAACTAAAACTAAGAATTTAATCTAGCCCAGAAAAAGTTACTTTTCTTTTTGATTTCCCCACAGAATTGTGTGTGCAATATCTGCTCTGTGGAAGGATGGAGCAGCTCCATTTGACTCTAATCAGTGAATGGCTTTATTTGACTCTAATCTGCCTATCATTTGGCTAAGAGAAAGTCATGACAAAAATTTCCAAAACTATCCATTCAGAATGCTTTTTAATTTTACAATTTCATAGTTCAAGTCCCTAGTCCTGTTAGTAGAACCATCTCAACCAAAAGAAAATGTCTTTGATGCATCACTCAAACCACTGGAACACATTTTTCCAATCTACTGTTGCTTTCTTGATGGATTTCCAAAGCTTGAAACATCTGCAAACATATCGTGCGTTCCGGACTACCAAGCTAAGCAATCTTGTACAAATCCCTATGATGTGAGCTTACTGTGTCACATTTTCATGGCTTAAGTAGAAAAAGATAGCCAATAATACTGAGGTCATTGCTTAAAGACATGTTAGAAACAATGGTGCAAAATAATGCTAAATTCCATTTCAAATCATAGCAAAAAATCTGGAATCCATCTCATTTGAGGGGAGGGCATCACCAAAAAGGCTATTACTACCCTACAAACCTGCCCCTTCAGCTACATACCACTCTTCTTCACAGTTTTGCGAGGGCTCCAATCAACTTTGACCTGGGCATGAAAGTCTTCAATGAGCTGCAACGCTCCCTTCAAGTTACATGGCTGGAACACTGTTTGAAACTTGGGATGGAACTGCTGACGAAGGAGCATGGAACTGTGAGCAAAGTTACTCAGCTCAGTCTGAAGAGTCAAATACAAAGGAGATAAAGGGACTTGCTTTCAATGTAAATAAGTACTCGTGTATGTACAAGTCATTCAGAAAGCAAACTTGCCAGATAGGAGGCAGAGAAAGTTTCAGTTATCGTCAACCCTGCTTTTCAGAGATACCGAGCCATGAGACACAATTGATTACATTTATTCTGCTCTGAAACTGTAAAGCCCCAGCTCTGCTGTGAGTTATTACTCCCCCATTCCCATGCAGAACCATTAAAGATGACAGAGCAATCACAGAGATTGTTTTAAGAATGACCTTTTCAAGCTTTGTTTTTAATCTTTAAAAAAAAAAAATACAAAAAACATGCCAACACAGAACACTGTGTTATTGCCATTACACACAGTTACAAACTCATTCAGTAAGCAATTGATCAAGCATTAGTATGTAGATGATACTATCATTTGAAACAAATGTTAAGGAAATATTTCTCAGCTGAATAAAGTCAGATTTTGGTTTTTTTTAAGCTTTGCAGGGCATTCCCACTAACCAACCCACCCTCACTGGGATTTTTTGTACTTCCCTCAGCAAATGCCCACATAGGCTTCAGACAAGTATAGCATAGGCATTAGCTGAACACGCTTCTCTCACCCAAGCCTTCAATTCCAACCTGCAGCAGTCCTGCTAATCCCACCCTAGTCCTCTCTAGAGCAGGGACTGTCTGTAGTGTCAGACGGGATGGAGGTTTGTGTTAAAACTAACCAGAAAGCAAAACTAATTTTCACCTAAACTGGCATTGTTAGTGCACTAGCCCACTGCACTAACTAGGCTCCCCTCCCATGACAGCAAACTCTCTCTCACACAGTGCTGAACCATTTAGCAACGTAAAGGCAGCTGCAGCTACATAACAATGCCTCTCCTTCACTGCTCATTTTTGAAAATACACACCAAGTTATCTTGATTAAAGGCAATGGCAGCCTTTATTTTTGCGATAGAATTATTGTATTTCTAACTTTAGCTAGATCCTTACCAGAAACATCCTCGTGGTGCTGGCTTCTGAACTCAGACTAGGGTTGGAGCTGGTAAGAAGGTGGATTTGAGTCAGGAGCTGGACATGCTGAAAGAACAGGTCAGGCAGATGAAGCTTTTCCATACACTAAAGACAGGGGTCGGCAACGTTTGGCATGCGGCTCGCCAGGGTAAGCACCCTAGCGGGCCGGGCCAGTTTATTTACCTGCGGACGCGGCAGATTCGGCCGATCGCGGCCCCCACTCGCCACGGTTCGCCGTCCCGGGCCAATGGGGGCGGTGGGAAGCCACGGCCAGCACATCCCTCGCCCGCGCCGCTTCCCGCCATCCCCATTGGCCCGGGACGGCGAACCGCAGCGAGTGGGGGCCGCGATTGGCCAAACCTGCCGCGTCAGCAGGTAAATATACTGGCCCAGCCCGCTAGGGTGCTTACCCTGGCGAGCCGCGTGCCAAACGTTACCGACCCCTGCACTAAGACACTATAATATCCAAAAATACTGGAAAATATTCTAAAGCACCAACAGGCCGAGCAGGTTATATCTCCTGGGTCTCAAAATGAGTGTTGGCTACAGACATACTTCAGCTAACAGAGAGCTTGAAAGAATTTTTAGTGCAGACATCTTAAGCAATTACCTTAAAAATACACAAGCACACACTAGTGACAACTACAGTTCAGAGACATTTCCACAGTAAGTGAAACCAGAAGTAAGAGGCTTGATGCAGGAATCACTTGGGGAAATCCTGTAGTTTGCATTTGCAGGAAATTATCCTAGATGATCACAATGGTCCCTTCTGGCCATAAACATTTATAAATCATTTAAACTAAAACATGATAGTTGAGAATATAAATGCACAAAAGTCAGGAAATTCAAAATTGGGGTTCCTAAAGCAATGTGAATGGGTACTCCTTGGAATTCTGTGCACAAAATTTTAAAATTCTGCATATTGTATTTGTCAAAATAAAACAATATAATCACACCATTTTCAATTATTTTAGTAATTTATTTCAAAATACCTGTCAGCAAGCATGGCTGTGACAATACAGACAACAGAAAAGATCCAGGAAATTTTTTTTGACAAATAGATTCCTTACTGGGCATATTAGCATATCTATATGGCTCCACCGAGCAAGAGGGACAGAGTCTCTCACGCACACCCAGCTCTCCCCCCAATCCAGAAATGGGACAAGCAGGATGAAAGTGTGGGGGATCCAGGTGTGTGGTGAGAGGGTTCAGGTGAAGGTGGTTGGGGCTCCGCGGGGGGATAGGTGTGGGGGGGATGGGGCTCAGCACGGGGGTCACGGGGCTTGGTGGTCCGGGTGCAGCTGGTTGGGGCTCAGTGGGGTGGGGCTTTGAGTGGGGGTGATCTGGATGCAGGGCAGACAGGAGGGGCAGCTCACCATATAGTGATCCCTTCCCCTGCAGCTGGGGAGAGATGGAAGCAGGAAGTGGGGCTGGATGTGGAGCTTCCTGCAGTCAGGAGCAGCCCATGCAGGGGAAGAGGAAGCCCTGTTCTCCCCGCAGCCCAGCTAGGACTAGCAGCTGCAGACCAGCACATTGTAGGAGCCACCAACCAGGGAATCCCCAGCCCTGCGCCTCCCTGGCTCCAGACACACAATAGCAAGAGAGACAGACAGCCCAGGCCCCCCACCCCAATCCCCAAGAGAGTGATTTACATCTCCTTTGCTGCTCCCAACACCCAAAACAGACATGTGCCTCCCCCATCATGTGAATCAGTTTTTCTGCAGGGAAAGCATAAAATCTGCAGGGGACATTAATTCTGCACTTGCGCAGAATTCCCCCAAGAGTAAATGGGGCTATTACACACACTTTTAGTGCTCTGCATTACTGTTTCATATACCTATGTGAAAGTTATCCCAACACTATAGGAATTCGGGATAAACACATTTACATGAGCCCAACTGGAGTTCCATATCTTGGTTTACTGCTGAAAAATTAAAAGGGTCACATACCACATATGTGAAACCCATGCTTACACGGCATGGCTCTCTCATAAACCTGTGTGCTTCCACCAATAGAAAGAGACAGTCTGCTACTGGGTTTGAACTACTATATCTGGGTCATCAAGAGGACCTTATGCTGATGACCACAATCAGGGGTGCTGCGTCTCAAGTGAATGGTATGCAATTTTCAAGCAAAAAATATGTCTCCCAGTCTGACAGCGAACCACTGATAACTGCTTTGACTATGGTATTTCAACCAGTTGTACACCCACTTTATAGTGAACGATTTCCAGCTAAAAGGATAATATTTTCAGAAAGTTAGAAGGCCACAAAAATAGGGGTTTAGAATTAAATCATTGCTTCAACACAGTCAGATTAAAGCATGACTGCTACAGCTCTCTCACATCTAGTTAAGGAGGATGGAATTCACCTCTTGGCAACCACTTCCCTTGGATGATTTTAATTCATTCCAGAAAGTGGTACCAGATTGTAGTGCACAGGTCTGCTTCACTAATGTTGTGGTACCAGATTCCAGGGTACAAAATGTGTACCTTATTTCAATAGGCAACTTGCTTGAGTGCTTCCTGTAGCATTGATGGTGCCACCATGCTATGCAGAGGCCTTTGCCCTGCAGTTGACAATGAAGCTGTGATAAGATGGTGTAATATTTGTGTTTGATAATTACTACATCTCTTACCTGCTGCATTTGCTGATGCAGCCTCTTTCTCTGCTCCATGTCCAAAACTAGGGTCTGAAGTGGCTTCTCAATTTGAGGTTTAGACCTCTCCATCTCCTGTGGCTGCTTGGTCGAAGATTTCTTTATTCTCAGCTGTTCAAGCTGTTCCTTCACAGTCCGATGCTGTTCATTGAGTAAGTTGGCCAGAGGCTCTTCAAATCTGTTTCAGATCAAGCAGACAGTATTATGCCAAGTCCATGACTTACAGACAACGCTCTTAATGACCTAGTGTATCAAGTAGATTTTACTTAGTTTCTGAAAAGCACAATTAAAATATTAATTACATTTCTATAGCACCTTTCATCTCAAAGTACCCAAAGTATTTTATAAACCTAATATTTACAAAAATCCCTTCACCTACCCCAGCAATGCTGCCTCTCCTGGAGAGGGACACAGCACCTATTCATTCAACAGCCCAAAGCAAAAGTTAATTTCCTGTCCTAAACGGTTAAGGCAAATCCTGTGTCCTGTTAAAGCTGCTAGAATTTAGAGAATCAGAATAGAATTACCTGAGGTAAAGTTTGGCCACCACACCAGGATTAATAATCCTGTTCTTAAGAAAAGTGTCATGGAATCTTTAATGACCACGAGCAGTCAGGGCTTTAGTTTTACATCTGAATGCAGCATCTTCAGAAGCACTGTGCCACTCTAACACCATGTTGGGGTACTGGTTAGTTACAGACTCAGATAAAAGCATTCCCTACTCAGTCACCTGTATCATTTCCTGCACCATCTTATTCAAGTACTCAGATACCACTGTAATGGCCATGGTATAAGAACCTAGATAAGACATTGCTAAAAAGAGATCATTCAAGAACTAGACCAGACCCGACCCAAGCTTGTGGGATTAAACAAGATCACAGCCCAAAGTACTATGGCTGCTGGCTATTACCATCATCAGTCCCAATGAGATCACTTGCAGCTCTCCAATGCTGTCGACACACTTTGTAAATATTAATGAGTGCCCCCGAGTTTTACTCAGCAGGCTATTTTATTACACGTTTGTTTCTGCTGCAGCAGAAAAGTGCTGTAAATATTCCTGTCATTGCAAAGAGCTTTAAGTGTCAGCCTGCTTATGACAGAGCTCTATAGATAGCCCAATCAACACTCTCCCATCTCTGACCCAACTAGGATCAGCTTCACTTCCACAACAGACCCAGCATGTGCGCTCAAAGCTAGTCACAATCAAGGCCCCTCTAAGACATTTACATTACAAGATACTAAAGGGAAGGAACCAATGGAACAAATAGGTGAAATTTTCCCTCAAAATTACCTCCCTAAAGTAGTCCAGGAACAACATTATGTACAGATAATACCAGGGAAGAAGAATCCAATTAGGAGGAGGACTTACCCTACCTTACCTCATACAGACTAGGGAAATGAGCATGAAATACCCTTCACAATAAGATTGTAGCTGGTCTAAGATTTCCGCACTCCCCTCCAGTACTGCTCATCTGGAAAGAATGGTGCAGATGCCCAGCAGTCACTTTAGCTCCCTTCCCAAACAGATACAGCTTAGTCTTGAGCTGAGCTGCCCCATAGACAAGGAGACTTTATTCAAACTGCAGTTCACATTCAGCCCCCCAGTTACTGTTACCATTTCAGTAGTAAGCCACTATTTGTCAAAATAAATATTAACTAAGAACAAGAGAAGGATCATGAGATCTGAAGCCGATCAGCTCCAAGTCATTGACTAAAATTTAGCCCATGCTAATAGTTATCAAAAAGGCGACATATGTTGTCCACAGCTGACAGCTGCTTCAGTCCCGTGCCCCTACACAGCTCTGCCAGTCCAACTCTTTCCTGACTAGCAGCACCCATCTGTTCAAGAAGTGATATGCACTGGGAGATTTGCTAGGCAATGGCCAGTACAGTAGAACCTTAGAGTTACGAACTGACAGGTCAACCACACACCTCATTTGGAACTGGAAGTATGCAATCGGGTAGCAGCAGAGACACCCCCCCTCCGCCAAAAAAAAAAAAAAAAAAAAACAAAAAAAAACAGTAATGTGATAAACGTAAACTACTAAAAAACTAAAGGGAAAGTTTAAAAAAAGATTTGATACGGTAAGGAAACTGTTTCTGTGCTTAGTACCAGAGGGGTAGCCATGTTAGTCTGTATCCACAAAAACAACGAGGAGTCACCGGACTCCTCGTTGTTTCTGTGCTGGTTTCATTTAAATTAAGATGGTTAAAAGCAGCATTTTTCTTCTGCATAGTAAAGTTTCAATGCTGTGAAGTCAATGTTGAATTGTAAACTTCTGAAAGAACAACCATAATGTTTTGTTCCGAGTTACGAACATTTCGGAGTTACGAACAACCTCCCTTCCCGAGGGTTCGTAACTCTGAGGTTCTACTGTACTTGAACAGCCCAGCTCCTCAACAGTGCCTTCATATTACCAAGAAAGCTGGAGGTAATAAGTGAGCTCCTCCGGAGGAAGTTAAAAAAGCTGTCACCCTTCAGCTGTGTTGCTAGAATACAATCCAGTCCCTCAACGACCCCTCTTTCTGAGGTCCACTGCTTTTTCTCCAATAAAAGCCGCTATTATACCCTCCTTCAGGGCATTGCCTCCTTCTTCCTGGCCCCTCACGGAGAAGCACTGTCCGTACTGGCTCCCTCCATGATACCTACAAATTGCAGCAAATACACTGCTGTATCAGGGAGTCAGAGCAAAAGGGCCATGGACCCCATCGCCATCTGGATGGTATGTGTGTGGCTTCCATCTTCTTTCTATTACATCTTATTTGACAGCCCGGGCACCCTCTGCAGTTTTTATTGAGACCACACAATCATACCTAAGCGCCTGTGGTGTGTTAAAATTCGGCCGTGACTCTGCAACGGTGTCCTCATCCTCTGGGCCTTCATCCTCCATGTTGGAGAAACCCATCTCATCCTGGAACTGATAGGAAATAAAGCTCAGCAGTTGTCAGGTATATGAGGCTCTGTCTGAGGTTCAGGGAATTACTTTTAGTACAGAGGGATTTCTGGCTCAGTATAAAATTAATCACAATGGACCTATACTGATGTCATCAGCAGCAGACACGCTCAGCCCCCTTGGGTCTTCACTGGGGTACATGCTTTAGCCTCCTCATAGGTGCACATACATGACAGGACCCCTTGCAGTGAGTTTATGCTGAGACATCCAGTAAAGTCCCCTCTCTTTGGCTTATGATGGCACCTTCAGAGACCCTCTGTCAGTGGATAGAAAGACTCCCACATATTGTTAAAAGTCTCACTTAGACTTGGTGTACACTACAGAGTTAGGTCGACATAAGGAAGTTTACGTCAACCTAACTGCAAGCGTCTACTCTAAAATGCAGCTCCCACCAATGTAACTCGCCCATTACACTGACTTAACTCCACCTCCGCGAAAGGTGTAGCACTTCGGTTGATGTAGTTAGGTCGATGCTGCGTCAGTGTAGACATTGCATTGCGTACATCGACAGTTGCTGCCTTTCAGAAGCCGTTCCACAATGCCGCACACTGACAGTTAAATCGGTGCAAGCGTTCCTAGAGAGGACACGCACCACTGACACAAGGAGTACAGTGTGGACATGCAAAAACTATTTAATTACTGCAGTGGCTGTATGTTGACATAACTAAGGTTGACTTTAATTATATAGTATAGACTTGCCCTTACTGTCTCAAACAGCTCCTCCATCAGTTCATTTACTTCTTTCTCTGTAAGAGACAAGATAGGGTGCGTGAAGAAACAGTTAGTGATCCAGTAAGAAAAATTTCAGCAATTTGCAGGATTTCCTTTTCAGAAGATGACAAACGCTTGCAAACTTTCCAACACAAGTGGGAAGAAAGGGGACCCTCTCATATACTCTTACATTTTCTCTTTGTGATGGGGATCAGCCCTGAAGCATCCAAGTACAGCCTGCCTCTCAGCCACTCAATCCTAATCCCCTGTGAATGCCAGAATGGCTTCACCTCCTTGATCTGTGATTTAAGAGATCAGCTTCCCGCAACTGTGGTCACAAGGTTTTCATCCAAATTCAGGCTGCTATTTCTCCCCACATGCTCTCTATACGCCTAATGATGCAGCTCTGACCCCACTTCACAGCTGAAGGCCTGAGCAACACAGCAAAGTCCTTCAATGCAACCCTATCTAACCTCCTTAACGCCCACACCAGACCCACAGAGTATCTTGGCTAGAGTCTCATTTTGTCTAAAACAGAACTAAGTAGCTGTACCTGATGGCAATGCTGGACCACTGGCCAGATCCATTCATGCATTTATGGGGAGTCATTACTATACAGAAGAGCTGGTGAAGTTAACAGCATGGGGGGCGGAGGGTGATTCTATTTTTTTTTTTAAATTAGCCCTGCCTTGCAAAATCTTCGCAACAAACACTGAAGTTTTCAATTTGGATCAACAATTCTAACAGAAGCAGTGCTGAAGGAGCTGAGCTTAGGTTATCACAGTACTTACTGGTGATTCTCACAGCACGATCATTCCTGAAGTCTTCTGTGTCTGGTTCATCCAGATCTTCCAGGAAGTTATACTCAGGGTCATCATCATCATCTGCCTCATCTAACAAGATAAATGTTTGAGACATATTTTTTCATAAATCAAACTGTAAGGGAGACCGTGCTAATAGCAACCTGGGGAGAAACACTGGGCTTACTGGTTATCCTGCCAGACAGAGGCAGGACTTGAGTTAGTATTAGTTTTAACAGGGTCCCAGTTTGCTCAATTGCTGTGGTAGCAATAACAAAACTATCTTCCTTTCAATCTGCACTTGTAGCACCCTCATTTCTTTCCCTAGTACTTTAACCATTCCTGTTTAGTAAGGACAGACTGATTCTCCACTAGCTGTAATTTGTGTCATCTAAATTTGCAGAAAATGAGTGTATAATGCCACTATTCTAATCGGTGTGTTTTACACCCACTGTGCACAGGTGTAAGAGATGACATGAGGCAAGACAGAGAATCAACCTCTGAATTATTTTGTTTCTTATAAGAGCATAAACCATGATGGTAAATACAACATGGTGCCCCTCACGTAAAAACACCACATTGATAAATAAACTCAAGGTGTGCCCTATACTGCACTTTGAAGTTAGACACTACTACAACAAGAAATAGGTCCAACTGTATTTTCTTATCTGACAAACAAATCCAAGCTCCAGGTTCTCACTGGATAAGTCATTTTAAGATTTCCTCCTGCCCATCCTGGGGCTTTACTCTTCCATTGAAGTCAATGGGATTTACTCATATAATGTTGTGAAAATGGCAAATGTCATTCTGCAATGTATTAACAGGAACGTCATATGCAAGATACAAGAGGTAATTGTTTCACTCTACTCGGCAATGAGGCCTCAGCTGTAATACTGTGTGCAGTTTTGGGCCCCACACTTTAAGGAAGATATGGACACTGGAAAGAGTCCAGGAGAGCAACAAAAATGGTAAGATGTTTAGAAAACATGATCCATGAAGAAGGTATTTTCATGCTACTACTTCTAAAAGAGGTCAACGCATGTCCCCGCCAGTACCCAGCCCAGGCAAGCTAATGATCCAACCAGCAGACCAAATTCAGTGATGCATCCTGGGTATATGCCACCTAAGGCACATTATGCTAAGAAGATGATTCCAGCAATGATTCCAGCCTCTCCTAACATTAGCCTGCTTCAGTAGCCCTTGTTAAATTCAGTTTGCAAACAAAACTAAAACCAAAGCAGTTATATTAGTCCTTATGACAGGTTCAATATCTATTCACCTTTCTCAAATGCTCTGTTGAATGAAAGGTTCAACCGCATCAGGAAATTCCTCTTTTCTTGTAAGAGGTTCAAGATGTTATCTTAAAGCCCCAGCATTCCAGGGAGTTGTGGGACTTCACACACAGACCTCAGACATGCTTTGTTTTCAGTCTTGGACTTGACTCACCAAGATACTCTCATGATGCATGAGGATCAGAGGGTAAACGGTCTCAGAAGCATTACAGCAATTTGTCACAGGTGAGACACTAGGAAGCCAGCATAATCAAATAAAAGTAACACAAAAGAGAAAGGCAGCACTGACATTAAACCAACAGCTGGCTTCATCCTGGTAGTTATGGAAGCTGTCTTGTGGAAAGTTTCAGCAATGGTGAAGGTTGAAATGTTAAATACTTCACTCCAGTTTCAGGGATCAGGTTATGTGAACAGCAGCTTCCAAGTTTCGTTTTAATTTCTATTATTAAACATTTATATTATATATTTGCATTCAAATGATCAATCAGGATCAGAGACCAATTGTACTAAGCACTGTGCAAACACACATTAAGTCAATGTTCCTTCCCTGAAGGGCTTACAATCTAATGAGAAAGGTAGAACAAAGTGCAGGAAAGGAAGCCAGGTTTAGAAAAGAAGAAGAAATCTCCAAAATATCTGACACAAGAGCATCCACTGTGTTAGTAGCCATTAAAAGATCTCCGTATAAGCAGACTCAGCCAGCCAAAACTTCTCATCTCTAGATCCATTACTAAAGCTCATATTACTGTAGTATCTAGATGCTGATACAAGCAGTGTGTTGGAGCATGGAGAAGAAAATAAAAAACAATAAAAACAGCAGAGCTGGCTAAACAGGACACTGGAGTATTTATAGTGCAGTTGAAATGCACGACACCCTCATTATTACTCATGGGCAGCAGTTAGCATATATACTAGTACACGAGTCAATGCATGTTTAGCCTTGAAGAGAGGATTGAGCCTAGAACCAATACAACATAGACATGTGGAAGGTTAGCAAGGCTGTTGGCATGCAGAACATATCCATGTTACTAACCAAGCTAACGGCTGTACATGAGACTGCCTGGTATAGACAGGAAGAGAAAGCTTCAAGCTTCCCACAGAACTCTTAATCAAGGTCAGAGATGAAAATGTCCCCACCAATACCACTAAATAACCAGGTATTGCTGCGTACCCTCACTCTCCACATCATCATTCATGAGTCCCCCAAGCCATCTTTTCCAGTCTTCATCATCTGCAGTATTTGGGTCATACATGTCTGGTGTGATATCTGGGGCACGGAGCTCAGCCTCCAATTGACCAAGAGGAACATCCTTCAAGGGTCTCTTTGATCGGGTGCGGAAAGCAATGAGGCTATCATCCAAAGACTGAAACATGGAGAGAAAGCACAATGAAATCACAGCCGCCCCATTATTCTTCTAATTTCTTTGATGTCAGGCATTTCAGTGCAGCCAAAAAACCAACAACAAACCTGACACCAGAAAAATCTGATTCTTGACACAAAAAGATTCATGTTACTTTGTTGTTCCCTCCAAGAGTAACATTTAATTAATCTGTAGTTATTACACTAACATCACTTATAAGTATCTTTTCAACATGCACCTCATTCAAACCTATTGCCTTAAGAGCTTTCTTCCCCTTCAATATTTTACTCCTTAGCAGTTGGTTTATCCTGTCCATCCCCACTGCTCAGTTATCATCACAACAGCTCCTTTCCAAGACAGGAACCGGACAGAACAACTTCTACTAGAGTCTGTATTATTGCAGCTCCATAGATTCACTGAAATACAATCATTAACCCACTACACCAGCCTCTTAGGTCTCTTGCTCCCAATTTTATAGTCTACTGCTTCCCTGCTGAGCCACAGTGTCACCTAAAGGGAGCAATTTACACGATCAGCTTAAATTTGGCAAATGTTACACTTTGTAAAAACAAGATTTATAAAATATAACAAAAAGAGAAACATTTCAACAATTTAAAAATTCCAAACACTTTAGAAAGAAACATCTCCTGCAATGTTTTAATACCTGAGCAATATAGCACAAAGAATGCAAATGTGAAACTGATGGAACTGATTTTCATTATCCGAGCTGAGAGAAATGCAGAGTGTAAACAAAGGGCATAATTAAGGAAAATTAATTGATTTGTACAATTCTCTCACTTTTAAGCATCTTAAAGTGTTAGCAATGTGCTTGATTGCAAAATTAAGTTGACAGCGTGTAGAGGGACTCAGCAGACAGGTTTTAGACAGTACAGATCAAACAACCACCTTCCATCAACAACAATACTGTTATACTTGCACCACAGTGTCATTTTTGTAGTATCCCTAATCACATTACCTGGTAGGAATCCATGCACACTGGGCTGGAGGCCAATTCCTCATCCACAGCATGCAGCTTCTCCATAAAAGTGCTATCCCCGCTCTGTTTCGGTTTAGGTGGTGGTGGAGGTCCCATGGGAACCACTTCAGCACTAATATGCCTAATAAGGGGTGTAGAAACCTTCTCCACCTAATCAAAAGAAGTCCTTCGTGTTAAAAATATTTTATTTAAGTCAGTCTCTCCAGGGCAGGGATTGTCTTTTTTCTGTTTGTATAATGCCTTGCACAATCAGGTGCTACTGCAATACAAAATAAAACACGGCATCACAGGGGGAAATGGACTCTCCTGATTCTGGTAGACTTGATTTTTAGCAAGCATAGTGGTGAGAATGTAACTATTGAGAGCTCTGCAGGAGAGGAGAAAATTTCAAAGATTTCAGTCTAATCAGCTCTAGAAGCATTTTAACTATATGAGATTAAATTGGTGATAGGAGACAATGGCAGGTAGAAAGGGAGGGAGAGAAAAATCAGTACATTCACCATGTTGCCTCTGATCCCATACACTGTGCCATAGGTGAAGAGTTAATAATTGCTTCTGAAGAGAAAAGATAAGCAGCACCATATCCTTCCTGTTTACTGCAAAGAGCATCATTAAAAACAGAAAAACTAGGCTATTTGGGGAGGGTTGGGGGGTTATGTTGAGGGGTATGTGAATGTGGAGTCCCAGGAAGACCTAACTTCTAGAAAATACAGGCTCAAGAAACAGAATAAAAAGTTTTCACTCTTTAGAAGCCAGGGAAAGCCAGACTCACTCTTGCACATAGCACACAGCATTATCTGTTCTCATGATCACATATTCCCAACCTACAGTTGCATATGAGGGAATCAGACAAAATGAAGCTGTTAAAATCATGTTCCTTGCTCATCTCTTGAACAGATCATCCCCCCTTTTTTTTCAATCCCTCCAATAACTCTCTTCCTTACACCAAATCAAATGTAAGCTTCTTGTCCTAATCTTCACAGCCCTTTCCAACTCTTTGCCTTTCTACTTATCCATTATATATCTCTTATCGCATCACCCACCTCCCCCATTCACATTCCTCCACCCACAATACCATCTTTGGCAGCCCACAGCCACCACAAACATTTTGGTACTTTTTTCCACACTACTCCTTATTCATGGAGACTCGCCCTGTGCTGATGCATAAGGTCGCTAATGTCTCTTTCAAATCTCTCCAAGGCCCATATTCTGTCTCGATGCCTAAGAAATCATCCAGTGTTTAATGGCTCAGCTGAGGTGCAGTAGGAGGAGTTAAGTACATGTATGTAACTAGAAAACTAATATATACATATATAAATATAAAACTGCATATATTTTAACTGTCTCTCTCTCTCCGATTCTTTGTAAACTGCTATTCATAGACTATAAGCTCTTTGGGCATGGTTGTATCCACCTCTTTGGATAGCACCCATAACAATGGGACAGAGTCAAATCAGCACCTGAGTGCTACCATAATATAAATGTTAACAATCAACATTTATTATGGATTTCTCACTGGTGACTTATAATGAAAGACTGAAGCTATTTCAGAAAGTACTGGAGCTTTGATGTTAACTGTACCTCAGATAGGGTTGCTCCCTCTTCATCTGTCTCTATCATATCTGATGATTGCCTTGTCCTAGATCGCTTTGCTCCCCGAGGAGAAGAGGCAGTGCTCTCCACATCACTTTCCAACAAGCTCTAAAGAAGAAAAGCAAAGCAAAACACAGTCAAGTAATTTTGCAATCACTAACGTACCCTTTTTCAACTAATATCTCATTCCAGTGATTTTCTTTTAACATAATGAAGTCAAAGTCTCAGTATACTATGAAGGAAAGAATGAACCAAAACCAGTAGGATAATCTTTCAGGGAGGACACCAAAGGATGAACCTTAGAAAAAGGTTGGAGGAGTGAGGTTCTGGAACAGCCTCCCAACAGGAGTTGTTAGGGCACACACCTTTAATTAGTTTTAAGGGATCTGGATAAATGTACATGTGGTATTGTATGATGGGGTTGTTTGTGATGGTAGCAGGTAGGGCTCAGCACTCCTGAGGGTCCCTTCTGGTTTCTATCTATCTGATGTTCCTAAAAAGCTCATGCCTTCGGGGGTGCAGCTGTTCACCTGCAAGAGTCAGGAAGGGATTCCCCACCCAGTATATTCTGGGTTGGTTTGTCTGTCTGCTTCCTGTGAAGCATCAGAGATGGCCACAGCTGGAGATATGACATTGGACGGGGTGGGACAGTGCTCTGAGGTAGTACTAAGAATTCTGTCTCTCAGATGCTTGCCTGGTTGGTTCTTGCTCACAGGATCTAACTGATTGCTATATGTGGGGTCAGGAGCAAATTTTCACCCAGGTCAGACTGACAGGAACCTCGGGGTTTTTTTTGCCTTCCTCTACCACATGGGCTGTGAGTCACTTGCCAGGATTACCTGGGTATATCTCACATAACCATTGGTGTGCCTCAGTCCCTCCTAGTCTCTGCCTGTGGGATGTAATAGTTCATACTTCTGAGGGCTAGAATATCTTGATTCAATTTCTGTTGTGGGATTTAGTGTGCAGGTGCTGGGTGGCATTGGTTGTCTGTGATATACAGGAAGTCAGACTGGATGACCTGGTGGTCCCTTCTGGCCTTAAATTCTATGACTCTATTAACCAGACTCTCCTACATCCCAGGGCAGTGCCCTAACCACTGGGTTAGAGCATAATTCTCACTCTCTCTAAGGCCCAGTGAATATTTAAACATTTTATGCAAACTAGAAAAGCTTCAACAGGAGAGACAGAGACCCTCCCCAGAATAACTCATGCCCCAACGATTAGAGCACTCACCCAAGACATGAAAAACCTGGGTTCAAGCTGCAGATCCTCTCAGGAAGAATGGGGATTTGAACCGAGGTCTCCCACATCCTGGATGAGGGCTCTAACCACTGAGCTATTGGATTAAAAGGGGGGTGGGGGGAGGGAGGGAGAGAAACAACCTCTGACTCATTTTGTGCAGGACCTAATCCAGTAGGTGTGCTCTAAGGCAGCCTCTGAGCACACATACCAGATTGGACCCTGTAGGCACCATAGGTGGGGGAACACTCAGTTTGAAGATTCTGCTAGGACCTAGGTGTGAGCTAGGCGCCCAGGCATCAGGACTTAGCTGGCTGTGCACATACCCCCTGGCAGATTTTTAGGTACCTAGGGACTTTATCAGCAGCAACTCAGCCACCTATGGAATTAGACAGCAGCTGATTTTGAATATCTATATTTTGGATTTGGGTGCCTAAAGTGGCTGTTCGGCACTTAAATCCCTTTGTGGATATAATCAGATGTGTTTAGCCATATTTACCTCTTCAGCAGTCTCATCCTCATCCTCATCCTCAGGCTGGTATTCCTCATCAGATGAATCATCTTCTTCAAGAGGAATGTCCACAAACTGAGGAGGCTGCAGTGAAACCAAGGGAAATATAAGAACTTTACAGGTTTAAGCTAAAAGTTTTATGGTTTCAAATGCCCATACCACAGGACATGTGTGGAGAAGCTCAGAGAAGGAGCCAAGATAAGGAGAGAGGCTCCAGAGGATGTGGAACTGTATCCAAGTAAGGCTTGTGGAATGGGTGGATTCAGAGGTGCAAGGACAGGCCCAATTTACAATATTAAAAAGCCACTGAATGGGCTCACAGCATCTCATATTGCACATACCTAGTCTATGAAACCACATGCTTCTAGCACTGATACCCTTGTCAGCCTATTGTTTGTTACACTCGTTGCATCATATCTAAAATTAGACTGTCAAGTCTCTGAGATAGGCAGTGCCCAGCCCTCAGTGGGGTCTCTGGGCAGTACCACAATACACATAATAAAACACGGAAGAGGAAAACAAGCTAAAAGTCAGGAGAAGGAACAGTCAGAGAGAAACAAAAGGCCAAAGATGTGAGCCCAAGGTGAATCAGATGAGTATATTCACTGGAGGTTTTTGTGTAGGGATGCAAATCTGCTTGCAACAGACTCTGCAGACAGAGGAAACAGCACAGATTCACCTTTCAGTTGCTAACCTTGATCTCATTAGCCTTCTTAATTGGAGAAATATTCCATGCAGGGATTACCTAATGGAAATAAAACTATTATTAATAATCCGTGTAACATCAGATTTCATAGTGTTAAAACAAAGGACCATCTGCGTTTTGTGATCCTATTTCCCCAATTACCCAAGTAACATCTGACCTTAAAATATAAGCTTTCTAAACCGCTCAGCAGATTTGGGCGTCAGGCAACAACTCCCTCCTATATTAGATACTCTAAGTTCACTTTGTGCACTTTACCCACTCCAACTCTGATCTGGTACATTTCTGTTCATCTCTAAGGAATCCCTATTTTCTTTATTTAAGATCACTACAAATATGGGCACGTGCACACACTTCACCTTGTAAAATTTTTTAGGCTTAGGAATAGTTCACAGAAACCATCCTCGGTCTACAGTTCCTACTGCCCCAGAGGTCAGTAAAGCATCTTCTATCATTTCCCAAACCAATGGGAAAAAATGCAAATGACATACTCACCACTCCTTTTTCCACAACTTCCTTCAGTTTAGAGCGAGTCATTTTTGGCTCCTAAAAGAGTTAAAAAGAAAGCAAACTCTTAGCTATAACATTTTTCACCAGTGTCTCTTTATGGAAAATGTCTTTGTTTCTTGTTGCTAAGTACACCACCTGTCTGACATGGTGGGCATGACATCTCTGCACTAAACTCTATACCTGATGATTCTGTTTAGCAGTTAGGTTCCAACTGAGAAGTTAGTGTCTCAAACTGCCTAAACATATTGCAATACAAGTTCTCCCATGATCCTACCTTTAGCCTCTTCTCTCCCCACATCAGATCACCAGCAAGATTCAACAGTCAGAGCAGCGTCTGAAGGTACCATGCATATGGATAGATAGCAATGGGGGGGAAAGCTTGTTACTCACAAACATGGGCATGTCTTCTGTCTCACTGATGGCTGCTTTCATCATGGCAACCACATGCTCATTTGTGATCACTTCCTGCAGGAACATAAAAATTGGCTTCAAGTCTCCTTTTTTATTTTTGTTGTGAAAAAGAATCAGACCTCAGCTCAAAATAATCTTGGAAATGTGGTGGGAGGTGGAAATAGGACAAGAAAGTATTAAGTGCTCCTCTTATGATAAAGTGCAGGGCCTGCATTACATGCAAAGATTCTGTAGAATGAACCTATCAAACTTTCTAATGCTATTAGGAGGGACAACAGTGCAGTCTATACACACATCAGCTCTGTTCTTCTCACATAATGTAAAATCCCAAAATTGCTGGTTTTAAGAACATGAGAAAAGCTACTGTGGGGCAGCACTGGAGAATTTGCATCTTAAAACATACATTCACACATGTAAGACTAAGAGTATGGATCTATTCCACTGCTCCAGGGCAAGTTTAATGCTACAACATTTCAGAGCACACTGATTATTAGAGAAGAGAGATACAAAAAAACAAAACTGAAAAACAAAGGAGAGCTTACAGAAAGTAAAAATTGAGGAGATAAGACGAGATCAGAGACTCTGGCTCCTGAATCCAAATATTGTAACTAAATTGCCAGCATGGGGCGCACTGGGAAGGAAATGACCACATCAGCGCCAGGCTGTAGAGGAAGGTAAACTTATTGCATTCTGACATTTACATAGTAATAACTAGTGAATCTGCCTGAAACAAACAGTGGCAGTCACTTGTCACTATAGAGAGAATGGACAAAGGACAAATTCCTGTGACCATCAGGCATGGAACATTATTGGAATGCAAAAAAAAGCTTAAAATAAATAGTATAAATTATTATTTTGAAAACAGCATTGGTGTTCCCTAGGCTCAGTTCAGGGATGACTGGAATCTGACAACAAGTGCTTCACTACAGAATTAGCTGGCTCAAGTTTTGCACTAGGTAGCTACAGGGATGTGGATTTTCTCTCCACTACAATTCATTCCCATGTGGAAATTGTGTGATAGGATAAAAATATTTTAAAAATCAGTAGGCGGCCTTTGTCACTAAGTACACTACATTTCCATTAACAGTCCCACCAGAATTCCTGAAGACCTTTACCAAGAAACCCAGTCCTCTCAGAAAATATGAGGTTTGTACATTCCCAGTTTATGTCCTCTCATCCCATCTTAATAGCTCGTGCCTTTGTCCTTTGTGGTTGTACCACATCTCAGGTGTGGTACAATCAGTTGCAAAAGATCACGCCACAGGAAGTAAAAGATTAACATCTGCTAATGACAATGTAAGTGACTGAGTTCTGGATCAATTCCACCTATAACAATAGATAGCTCTAGCTTTACTAGTCTGTGAATCATTACTGTGTTTACCCGGTTTATAAAATCCTGTGCAATCCTATAGGCTAACCTCAGCCTAGCCAGCATTTTCCCAGGAAGATACACAGGGTCTATTCCTTTTCTTAGTACTGACATACATCTCCACTCCACCCCACTCACATGGAGGATATTTCGCACATTGACGACGGTCAAGTTGTGCTGTTTCGCTCCATCTTCTAAGGTGCGATCAAGCATGTCATCTAGTTTGATGTCACAAGCCAAGGACGCCTCCTCTTCTTGGCCTCTCTCTTCACGTTTACGTTTGGTTGCCTTCCTCCTCTTCTTCCTTCTCTCACCTTCCTCTAAATCTTGCTCCTCTGCAGATTACCAATAAACAATTCAGTTTCAAAATACAAGACTCAACCTCCCACTCAGGCAGTGGGACTCTCCAGAAGATAGAATGCAGCAGACATTAACAGGTCTCATCTGCTTTCCACCTACTGATCACGAATAGGAACCATGAGTCACTAAAACATTGGTATTTTAACCTGCTCCTATGCATGTTATAACTAGCGCAGGAGGTCGGGGGGGGGGTCAAACTCACTCTTCGGGAGAAAGATGAATTCCATCTTTAGTTACAGTATGTGGGCTGGAACATAATTTTATAACCACATACAACCCGAATCCACAACAGACAAGAGTGCACTGATCCTTCACAACCACGAGAGCTAAGAACACATTTTTCAAATGGAAGACTCAGATATTGAAAAATCTGAACAAATCACAGAGGCCACAAATACATTAAGCTAGGTATTTGACATCTATGCTCTAGCGACTTCACAGAGCTGCCATACTAGCCACCTTCCCTCCTCCTGAAGGAATGGCCATGAAGCAACCATGCAGTCAGGCTGCAAATCAGGAAAATCCTGGAACCCAGCACCAGCGGGCAGGGGTGAAAGTGAGCCGATACGGGCAGGTACTCAATACCAGTAAGAACCCGCACCAACCCATACCCAGACCACATTAAAGCGCTGCTGCGGCAGCACTTTAATGTCCCTGCCCCATTTGCCTCCCCTGTCAGCAGCCCTGCCGGCAGGGTCCATACCGGCAGGGCCGCCGACAGGGGGGGAGGGGAGAATGGGCAGCAACGTTAAAGCACTGCCGCAGCAGCGCTTTAAGGACAGTCCTTTGCCGCGGCAGCACTTTAACGTTCCTGCGCCCCCACCCCAGTCGGCAGGGAGCGCAGCAACGTTAAAGTGGTGCCGTGGCAAAGGGCCCTGCAGCGCTTTAATGTCCCTGCCCCATTGGCGCCGCGGCCCCGCAGCCTCTGACAGGCAGGGCGGGGAGGGGGCAAAGGGAGCAGTTGCCCTGGGGCCAGCGATTTAAAAGGGCCTGGGGCTCTGGATGCTGCTGCCGCTAGCTTAGCAGCGGCACCGGAGCCCCAGGCCTTTTAAATCAACACGGGAGCCCTGGATGGCGCGGGCCAGGCAGCCTGAAAGGGCTGGTTGGGGGATGCTGACCCACAGCCCCGCCCCTTCCGCCCAAGGCCCTGTCCCTTCCGGGGGCCAGAGCCGCCCCCCCATCCCCCGGGCCTGTACCAGTAAGTAGCCTACCTTATTTTCACCCTTGCCAGTGGGTTAGAAAACTTATCAGACTTAACATGCTTCTCAAGCCTAAGTGTATTGCTGACTCAGGAGAAGAGAAGAGCAGCATCCAAGCTCTTCTCTTAGGAGGCCAGTGTTTGGGCAATAAGTGAGACGACCACTGCAGGGATCAACTCTAGTTTGTTTCAGAACATGCTCCTCACTGGGCCCCTGAGGCTTAGTCAGCTACTGAATTACAGTGCGGAAGTTTAATATTTCATTCAAAATGGCTGAACCCAAAGGCTGGATTCCTACCCCAGTTTTGTGCTTCCTTTCCAGAGAATTTCTAGCTGTACTGTCACAGGTTCTCCTCCTGCAAGACACTTACCCAGTGGAATAAACAGCCCAACGTCCTCAGTTTCCTCATCAGTCTGCTGCAGCTGCTCCCCTGTTCTGGTGTTTTTCAATGTCTTGATCGTGGCAGGAGCTTTAATCGGCAGCAGCAAGGAACTTTTCACTTGGGCCACTTGTTTTGGAGAGTGGTTGTCAGATGGATGGGGGTGTCTCTGCAAAATTACTTCTACCCCCATAGGCAATTTAGGAGATTTCCCTGCAAACAGCATATATTAGGGTCATTTTGTTTAAGGTGCTTCTCCCCAGTTAGCTTTTCCTCTTTTGCACAAACCTATGATCCAAATACAGTAGGGATTCCACAAACCCTACAACAATATAGGTCTCATGGGTTCACTATTCAAAGCTTGTGAACTTCAGAAAAATGGGTCACCTAGGCTTCTGATGCTGCCTCATCACTTCTACCACTCATTTAAAAAAGTAGACACCCATATAGATTCATAGATTCTAGGACTGGAAGGGACCTCGAGAGGTCATCAAGTCCAGTCCCCTGCCCGCATGGCAGGACCAAATACTGTCTAGACCATCCCTGATAGACATTTATCTAACCTACTCTTAAATATCTCCAGAGATGGAGATTCCACAACCTCCCTAGGCAATTTATTCCAGTGTTTAACCACCCTGACAGTTAGGAACTTTTTCCTAATGTCCAACCTAGACCTCCCTTGCTGCAGTTTAAGCCCATTGCTTCTTGTTCTATCCGTAGAGGCTAAGGTGAACAAGTTTTCTCCCTCCTCCTTATGACACCCTTTTAGATACCTGAAAACTGCTATCATGTCCCCTCTCAGTCTTCTCTTTTCCAAACTAAACAAACCCAATTCTTTCAGCCTTCCTTCATAGGTCATGTTCTCGAGACCTTTAATCATTCTTGTTGCTCTTCTCTGGACCCTTTCCAATTTCTCCACATCTTTCTTGAAATGCGGTGCCCAGAACTGGACACAATACTCCAGCTGAGGCCTAACCAGAGCAGAGTAGAGTGGAAGAATGACTTCTCACGTCTTGCTCACAAGACACCTGTTAATACATCCCAGAATCACGTTTGCTTTTTTTGCAACAGCATCACACTGTTGACTCATATTTAGCTTGTGGTCCACTATAACCCCTAGATCCCTTTCTGCCGTACTCCTTCCTAGACAGTCTCTTCCCATTCTGTATGTGTGAAACTGATTTTGTATAAGTTGAGCAAGTAATAAGTGCTTTTGCTACCTCCTGGATTTTAATCACAAGTGTTCAGATATATTAGAAATCACAAAAACTCCTTTAAATACATAAGTCATATAGTGTCAGGAAAAAATGGTGTGTGTGAACAAGCTGACAAATTAGCATTTTGCCTACATCATAGTTTCTCTGTGCTCCCTGTGATACACTATGGTTCTGAAGTCTCTCCTGCCACTTGATGTCACAAAACCCAAGTGTTGTAATAAATCTGTATAAAGTTATAAACTTGCATTACAGCCTAGGGAAGGTCTTACTAGGGACTGTGGTGGCTTCCCATTACAAGCCCTAACAAGATGGACATAATCTTTCACCTGTGTGAAAGAATACTATTCTGAGAATGAAAATATAGGGTGACAACTCACGCACAGACCACCAATAGCAAGAAATGTCTGAAAGGAGATTTGGCTGCATTTTGGTCAGTTTTTACACATATCTAGCCAAATGTTTATTCTTTAAAAGTAATGCAAGGATGATCACTTAGCTAGTAAGCAGTGTAGTTGTAGCCATGTCGGTCCCAAGATATTAGAGAGACACCAGCAGAAGTCTGTCCACTAAAAGATATTACCTCACCCACCTTGTCTCTCTATTTAGCTAGTATTTAGACAGCACTTTCAAAATGCAGATATTTGTTTTGAAGACAATCTTAAATCATACAAAGTATTTTACACTGTACATTACCTATGAAACTTACTGATACAAGATATTGAGTCCAACCACTTAGTAGGGTTCATAAAGGTTAAACTCCAATGGATAATGAGGGACATCAGTTACATTAGACAGGATAACTAGGGAGTTGCAACACTTCCAGGTTGTGTAGACTGAGCTTACTGCACACCAAGGGCTCCTTGCATCGCTGTATTCTACCCAAGGCCCTGTGTGCCATCCTCCTACCTCTCTCTATTTCAGGGACTCCCTGCAACTTCTCCCCCCCCCCCCCCCCGCATTCTCCTCTCCCCCAGTAGCAGGAACTCTGTGTGTCCCCCATCCTCCCCTCAGCAGAGTTCCCCATTCTCTGTCCCCAGCTGGGGCTCTGTGTACATCCCCATGCTACCCATACCAATGTCCATCAATCCCCCGCCCCCAGGGGATCTGTGCACCTTCCCAGTCCTCCCTCTACTCATCCCAGGTTCCCCTATTTGCCTCCTATAGCAGGTGCTCTGTGTGCACTGCCATTAACCCCTTCTCCCTCATTCCCCACTTTTTCATGCTAGGAGCTCTGTGACCTTCTTCCCCCATCCCCATACCTGGGTCCTCCAATTTGCCACATGCCAAGGATTCTGTGTGCCCCATTCCCTATTCTCCCCCCCACTCTTGCCAGGGTCTGTGTGCGTGCCCTCTTCCTCACTTTCTCCCATGACCCGCATCCCCCATTATTTTTCTGTCTGGGAGATAAGTCATTCAGGGTATCATCATGTTAAATTCTATGGGTAAAATGAGATAGGATATTGTTATTCTGGAGGTGTTAATGGGTGCTATCAACCAACCGTTTGACCTACAAACAATTGCAAAGGTGCCTGAAGATGGCAGAGACTCCCATGTGTCCTCCATTTTACCTTTTTCTCATATTCCCCAAAAATCAACAGGCCTGTTGGCCACTGATGCCTAGAACATTCCCTGAGATTTTGGAATTCATTGTACAAAAGTGTTCAAAAGTTATCATATTACACACAGACAGACAGAAATGCAATCAAGTTGAGCGGAAAGCCTTTGCAAGCTCAGCCAAAACTGTGTAAATGATGTAACGCTCAATGCTTCAGGACATAACCCAATCACTAACAACCTGACATTAGAAAAAAGTTGCTTCTTAGCACCTATTACTGTCCAATGTCAGAAATAAACCTCAAGTTCTCCCCCAGTTCCCCATGACTTTTCAAAAAAATAATAGTCAAAACAAAAGTATGTTTACCAACTTCCATAATACCTCATAATGCAAGTCAACCAGGACGCTCATTTTTATATGCTCAAAAGTAACAAGTGTTTCCTTATCTGATTTTTATCAACAGATAGGAAGTACCCTATCAGATTAAAGTAATGCTTCCTCTAGTCCAATATCCTGTCTCCAACTATGGCGGATACTCATATGTTTCAGAAGCAGATGTAAGAAATCCTGCAATGGAATAACTTGCCCACAGAAGAAGTTTCTTCCTAACCCCTCAGTAGATGGCTGGCTTATGCCTAAAGCACCATGGTTTATATCCCTTCTAAAAGAAACTTCTATTGTACCAAATAAACTCTGGATATTCTTATCCCCATAAACAGATTATCTTTTTTTTGACTCCTATTAAACTCTGGACCTCAATAATATCTAGTGGCAATGAGTTCCCTGGATTAAATGTTGTGGGAAACAGCTATTTCCTTTCATATTTTAAACGTGTTGTCCTTTCAATTTTATTAAATAATATCTTATTCTCTCTGACTTTCTAATTCTTTGTTTTTTTCCTCTTTCTTCTGAAGATTTTCTGCCTTGGACAGAACAAGAAAGTGGCTCTAAGAGCTAAATTGTAGTCTCCTTCCTGACAAACACCGCCACTCCCAGAACTAACGAAGCATGCGGAACAACACCACTTACTCAACTGGTTTCTGCTGCATCCCATTCCCCATCCTTTATCTATATATTGGTTATCTAGATAATAAGGGGTTGAATTTCAAAACTGACGCACTCTTGTAATAAGAGCTTAAATTCAAGAGTTTATATTTCAGCAGGGCTGAAAATCAGATCCAACATTCTATGAGGCAGAGACCTAATCCCCTTTTGTTTGTAAAATACCTCGTGTGCTTCTGCTGCTGTGTAAATAATGACAGCAGCAAGCAACCCATATCAAATTAATTTACCTTCTTCAGTGAATTCTTGATCCTTACCCTGCTCAAGAAATTCAGTTGCCGACGCAGTTTCTTTTGTGTTCTGTTGACCTTCACCACTGTCCTGACTGAGATCTGATCTACGTTTCACTGTGATTCTTTTCCCACTCCTCAAGAAATTCTCCACTGGTTCTTTCCAAGCCCTTTGGCTACACACCTGGGAGGTCCCTTTTCCTGGGATTATGTTTCCTTTAGAGGCTCCACCATCAGTGGTTTCCAAAAAGGGCAAATCCTCATCCAGTATGATAGCAGTGCTTGCAGAACACACAGGCTGTGCACCAGTCTTGTCGGCAGCTGACACGGGCTGAGTATCTGTGATGTTGCTCACTCGCCAGTGCTTTGACACACAGTCTCTGAGCTCCTCAGCGCCGCTAGGATTAGAAGACTCCAGTTTAACAGACTCCGCATCTGAGAGGAGAGCTGCACACTCCTTGTGATAGCTCAAGTCGACGGAAGGACTCTGGGGCCCCACAGCAACAGCTCTTCTCTTCTTGCAGGGCAACATCTTCAACGAGTGCGACATTGTGCTACCAATCCCCCAGCTCCACCCTGAAAGAACAAGTGCAATTTCTTACCACAGCAAAGCCCACCCCTGGACATGAGACCGGGGCCCTCCCCCATAGCTGTACCCACGACAACCCCTCCCGGGCGGCCCGGCCTCCGCGGTCAGACCCAGGAGCCCGCCTGGCGGTACCCCCGGTTTACAATAACGGGAACCTAAGCGTCCCACAACGCCACGAACCGGGAAGCCGTAACCCCCACGCCGCCCAGACTCTTCAGGTCCATCTTCCCGTCCCGCTTGCCGCCGCTTCCTCCAACGGGAAACGGAAATTACGTCCGGACTCCCGTGTGGAGAACAGCGCGCGCGCCGGCACCGCCATGTTTGTTCGGGAGCAAAGGAAAACGAGCCGCCATAGTTCCGGGCGGAAGGTAAGTAGGGCGCCGCCATCATTGTTCCGGGCATGGGGGAGGGGACGAAAGTATGACCGCCAACTTTATAGGGGGGGGGGAGAAAAGGAGAGCCGCCATGATTGCTACAGAGCGAGCTGGGGTCGCTGCCCTGGTTCTTGGGTATGTAGCTGAGACCCCGCCATGTTAGTTTGGTGAGGAGACGGTGGGGCGCCGGCACCGTCGTAGGGTGCAGAGCTAAGGAGCCGCCATGTTTGTTGTTTTCCGTCTCTTTACCGCGCTAGGAGCGTCTCCTGCGGCGGTTTATTGGCGTGTGTTTAACGCGTGCGTTGTGTGGGAACAGACCAGACCGGAATCCGAGGCTGAACATCTGCCTCGGGGGGGCAGACCATGTATGTTACACACGAGAGGCTTGGGGGAGATGAAAACCTGGTATCAACGGCACCGTTCCGCGCGAGGGGCCTGCGCCTGCTCGGGTGCGGCTCGCAGGCGATACTGAATTGGTCCTTACAGCCTCGGCGTCACTGAGCGACTGTGTCTTGCCCGAACTCACCCAGAGGGAGCCTAGAGTGAAGCAGGCTTCTCCCAAAGCCCAGGCCAGTGCCCTGCCCTAACCCTTCTTCACCTTGTCCTAAGTCCTTGATCTCTTGCTGTCTCTTTCGCACAAACCCACCCTCTCTTTTGCTATTCTATCAGATTTATTGCATAGTACGAGTCACTGCCCTCAGTTTGCTACAGCTGGAATGATCCGGTATGGGACATGTCCCCTTCCAACTCTGCGGGAAAGATCTACCCCTACAACACCCAGTGCAAGCTAACACACAGGGAGGGGGATATCTCCGGCATGGGATGCACCACTTCCTTAGCCCCCGCCCAGTGCAGTAACCCGCCCTGGATGCACATACTACCACCCTAATGTGAGATAAACCAACTCCCTAAATACCCCCACCCAGGGTGGGATAGACCGTAGCCCAGGCCCTGTGTGGGATACCCTGTCTCCCTGCCCGGCTTGCCGGTGGAATACACTCCTCCACCTCGCAACCCTGGGGCTGGATACGCCCGCCTGTTGCCAATGTGGGGTAAGCGAATCCACAGACATCTGCCCGCCCCGTCACGGTCGGCGTTTGGGCGGAGTTTCCTCTTCGGGTGACATCGGAGAGGGGCGGAGCCTAATCCCCAGCTCGTTCTTTGTGGGCGGAGTCTGCGCTGCATCTGGGCCAGTCGGCAGCTTCTGCATCCCAGGCTCGGAGCATCCTCAGGGCGGAGGCTGGTACCGGGGGAGCCCAGTGTACAGGATCCCGCACCCCGACTGCACCTGTTCAGCTGCACCATGGCTGAGATCGCCAGTGTCCGTCCCGGCTTAGGTGAGTGGAGCTATGTCACCGGGTCCTACCCAGCGCCTGTCGAGACCAGGCCGTGCCCAGCGCCTCCCCTCCCCCAGCGAGACCGTGCCGTGCCCTCCCAGCCCCATCGAGTCTGTGCCGTGCCCAGGGACTTGCCCCTGCATCCGTGCCCAGCGCCATCCTGCCCGCCCCCTCCCATCGCGATTTGGCCGTGCCCACCACTTTCCTCATTCTGTAGACCGGCCATACCCAGCAATAGCACCCCTCTCAGCATGCCTAGGTCTTAGCCTCCCCTCTAGAGCAACACGATCAGTGTCCACCGCCGGCCAACTCCGGCAGTCTGGGTCGGTGCCAGGGACTCGCCCAGGCCGATGCGAGGGGCAAAGATGCTGCGAAATGCTCTGCCAGATACAGAACATGTAAACTCCGCATGTGGGAATAGGGAAACGGGGCGGGGGCGAGTCCCTGCTGACCTCCCATCGGACGGGGTGCTGTGGGCAGAGTTCTTGTTACTCCCCGCTGGGGCGGGTTGCAGTGGCTAGCGGCCCCTCTGCTCTCCGTTTTGGGTGGTAGAATGCAGTCGGGGGGCTCTCCCCACGGTTATGGTGGGGAGGAGTGGGGCAGGGTCTCTCTCTCCGCTTCGGGGCACAACAGCACTGCGATAGCAGGTTGCGAGGGAGGCCGGGACTGGAGCTGGCGCTGCCCTTCGGCCTGATCTCCCTCCCCGCGGGTTGCGGGGGAGCAGTTGCGGGGAGCCTGGGCTGCAGCGCAGCTACGGAGCCGCTGCTGCCTAATGGCTTCGAGCGGGATGACGTGATGTCTATTCCGGGCCAGGCAGCGCCCCGGCCTCTGGCTGGAGCCTTTGTTCACGGCTCCCTGGGGGGGAGAGACGGCTCCGAGGGGGCTGCCGCAGCAGCACAGCTCCCGGCTCCAGAAGCAGGTTCTAGCCCTTAGACGAAGCTGGATAGATGGAACATTTTTTTCTGCACTATGTACTTGGATGCGGACAGGGCGGTTCTGGGGAATCTAAGCCCTGTCCCCAGAACTGAAGAGAGCGGCGCCCCATCGCACATACCCTCCTTCCTCATTCTGGAACAGCCAGGATGCCGGTATCCCCAACCCCTCTGTTTCTTATCAGTCTGAAATACCTTCTGCTCAGATCAGTCTGTTAATTGTGTGGGTCTGGAGAGATGCTTGGAGGCTGTAGCGCTGGGAATGAGGGGCCCTGCTTTGGGGCCAGAGACACATTGTGTTTTAAGAAGCTGCTTAATCCATTTAGTGAATCACTAAGTGTAAAATAGTCTGAAATTGTGACTGCTCAGTGTTATTGTCTGGTGCACATTGTACCATACACTGCAGTCTGTGGCTGAGTAATAGGCATGGCTGTTGGTCCCCTGGGTCACGAACAAAAATGTTTCTCCTGACTTTCCTAATGAGCAACATTTTAAATAAAAAAGGAAATTTTAGCAATTACTTTTAAGACCTCAGGACTTGCCTACATAGCAAATGATGGGGGGGGAAAACAGCAGGTGGATTTCTCAGGAATACAACCTGCTCCCCCTCTCTTTCCTCCAAATCTGAGTCTTTCCCTTTAGGCTACTTTTGAATGAGGCCTCATGGTTAAAAAATGGTTGCTACATTTCCTTTTTATTCTCAGGTGTTATATAAAACACACACACACTCTCCCTCTTATGGTAAGCACACAATGTATCTATTTATATTTACAACCTGTGCAAATCACTGTGGAATCTAGGTGAGTTTCACCACTGATAATTGGTACACTATTGTAACATCAAGGAACCCCCAAATAGTATTAAAAACAAAGAAAATTAAAAGTGACATATTCTGCCTTTTAATTAGTTTAAATATTTATAGAGTGAAATTTAACTTATGTGAGGCCCTAATTTTAAATTAGTACTGGCATGGTGCTAGTACTGGGAGCTTTCTAACAAGGATGAAGACAAAATTCCTGCCCCATACAACTTATTAACTAAAGATAATGTTTAATTCTTGCTGTATAAAGTTGCAAACTGTCTAATAATCACTATATGCAGTGTCATTGTAGCCAGTGGGTCCCAAGATATTAAAGACACAGTGGGTGAGGTAATATCTTTTATTGGACCAACTGCTTTTGGTGACAGAGACAAGCCCTCAAGCTTACACAGAGCTTTTCTTTAGGTCTGGGAAATTTACTCAGAGTGTAAGGTGGAACTGATGCTAAACAATCTGTTTCACCTTATATAAGCTGTGATACTCTATAAGTTAAAATTTATTTAATTTATTTAAAAAAGTTTCCCAGACCTGAAGAAAAGGTCTGTGTAAGCTCAAAAATGTGTCTCTCTCACCAACAGAAGTTGGTCCAATAAAAGATATTATTGTGACGGGTTCCCCAGGGTGCAGTCTGGGACTGTGGGACTGCTGTGCCCCCTAAACCCTCCAGCCTGGGTGTCTCTCACAATGCTTTGCTAGTGACAAGCAGCAGACCCCTCCAGGCGCTGTTATCGCTCAGCACAACCGCATGTGGAGTCCCACACCCAGCTATATTGCATGAATGCTCCCAGAGCCACTCATGAATTAGACAGGGAAAGGCATCAGCCAAATCCCCCCAGCTCCCAGCCTTGCACCTCAGGAATATACTGTCTTGCACTGCTCAAGACAAGCAATGCAGATTTATTAATTGGTTCACCACTTCATCAATGGAAAGTGGATATACACCAGCCTTTGCAAACCTGAGCAGTTATACCACACACTTCATACAAACTCACAGTAAAATAAATTTATTGTCTACAAAAGATAAATTTTAAGTGATTATAAGTGATAGGCAAAAAGTCAGAGTTAGTTACCAAAATAAAATAAAATGTTAGCATGCAGTCTAAACTTTCAACCCTATTAGACTGGGCAACATCTAGATAAAGCAGTTTTCGCACCCCACTGGGTATTGCAGTTCATAGTACACAGATTTCACCCTTGAAACCTGGACCAATCTCCTCTGTTAGAGTCTTAAATCTGCTCAGTGTCCTTGTTGCTTGCAGCATAGATGAGGGCAGTCGAAAGATGAAGCATGGGCCTCCGTGTCCTGTTTTATACCCTTAGTCCATGTGCTTGGAGAACACAAGGCCAGGCATGTCTGGTGGGCATTGCTGAGTCCCCAGGCAAGGTTGAGCAGTTCCCCTGGTGTGGTCTTATGCAGGTGAATCATTGCATTGTAGCTCCCTTGCTGGATAATGGCTGGTGATGTCTGTTCAACAGCACCCATCCAGGTGTTGGTTACCTCCCTTGTCATTGTCTCTGTAGGGCTAGTATCTGGGCGCCTCCCAAACCCACATCATATTTTAGTGAAAACCATACAACACAATTCTTATAATTTCATATGCATTGATGATACACATATTTAGATAGAACAATGTCTTCCAGCAGATCATAATCTTTCCCCTGATACCTTGTAAGACATGCTTTAATGCAATATCACAATTATATACAGATGAGGAATATGGGGATTACAGGAATGTCACAATTCTCTCACTCATCATGTCTCTCTAAC